GAACATAAAATTGATGTCATCTTTCTGCAACTCATAGTTAAAAAGGGCACGTGTGTAACAGTATAGAGAGTAGAACTAGGGATGGTTTTCTCCCCACAAAAATGAACCTTACTTGTTGAGGTAATTTTAAAAGAAAGAGCATACTTTTGGTTACTCCTTTGAAAGAAAGATGTTACTTATATATATCAGTTAGTTCTTTGGGCATTGTGACTATCTTATACTTCTGTTGTTATGCTCTGATTTGACTATGCTTTCCAGACTCTTGTTTTTTGGTTGGCTGTGCAATAACTTACAGTGATTAGGCTTTTTATTATTTTAGCAAATTTCTCATGAGTATATTATATAGCAGTGTGTATTTTCTGTTGCTGCCCAACAAATTACCCCAAAACCTAGCGGCTTAAAACAAGCATTTATGATCCCCTACATTTTCTGAGGGTCTGGAATCCACCAGGGGCTTAGCTGGCTGGGTCTAGTTTAGGGTCTCCTGAATTGTGCCGGTTAAGCTGCGGTCACCTGAAAGCTTCCCTGGGGCTGCGGCATCCATGTGCAAGATGGCTCACGCACATGCTGCTGTCAGGAAGCCTCGGCTTCTTACCACGTGGCCCTCTCTGGAACGCTGCTTGAGTGTCCTTATGATATGGCAGCTAGCTTCCTGCAAAGTGGGTGTTTCAAGAAAGAGCAAGGTGGAATTGGAAATGCCTTTTATAATCTAGTCTCTGAAGTCACACTCTGTTGTCTCCATCTCATTTTATTTGTTAGAAGTGACTCATTAAGACCAGTGGGAATTCTAGACAGAGAAGTAGGATCCACCTATTGAAGGTACTGTCAGAGCACTTGTGGACATATTTTAGATCAGCACAATGATGTTTTGGTAGATTGTTGTTGTTTTTTTTAACCTGTGAAAAAGTATCACTTGTGAATACTAGTTTATATTCTAGCTGTGGTAATATACACTACATTGATATTGCACACGATAGGTCCTAGACCGTAAACTTAATTTATCAGTGAATGCCAAATAAATATATATGGTGTTAATGCTTTTATTAATCCAGTTTTTAAATGGATGTTGGTATTCTGGGGCCCTCTTCTCTTTTCATTCTTAGAAGGCCATCTCATACAAAGCCATAGCTTCAAATACTCTATGCTGTTGACGTAGTAGATTTGTATCTTCAGTACCAAATGTGTCCTTTAAGCTTCGTGCCCATTAGACATTCCCTTTGGGTAATCTCAAGTGTCTAAAATTGAACCCTTGATCTCTTCACTCCTTTCAAAATCTGCTTGTCCTCATTCCAGTAATTGCTCATGCCAGAAATGTAGAGATCTTCTTTGACTCTCATTCTCCCTTACCCCACAATCTAATCCAGTACTAAGCCTTGTTGAGTCTGTTTATGAAATATACCTTGAACCCATCCACTGTACCACCACCACCCAAATCTTAACCACCATTGTCCCTCTCCTAAACTACTATACTGTCCTTCTCAACTGGTTTCTTTACTTCTGTTTTTGTCCCCTCCAGTCCATTATATAGAAACCAGATAATTGCCTTTCCATCCCACTTAGATTTAAATCCCAGATCTTTCATACGCTCTTGCCTGATCTGGTCCTTGTTTTTCCTATTTCTTCAAACTCACATCCCATCAACTACCCCTTATGCTCACCATTTCAGAAATACCATTCTTCCATTGCTCTTTTCTGCCTCAAGATTCTTGTACAGGCTGTTCCTTATGCCTAGAACTCACCCCCTTTTCTTTACCTGGCTAACTCTAATTCTTCAGATCTCATCTTAAATGTTGCTTTTTAGCATGGCTTCCCTTAGTCTCTCCAGATGAGATTAGGTCACTACCCCATGCCTCTCTTGGACTTGGCACTTTTCTTTCCTCACACTTAGCACAAGTTATGATTACGTATGATTTGTACTGTCTTGTTTAGTGCCTGACTATCTTAATTGTCTTGTTTAATGACTAGGAACTCCGTGAAGACTGGGTCCGTTTTGCCCTCATCAGTCTATTCTCAGTGTCTAGTACAGAATCATGTATATAATAGGTACTTAATAAATATTTAGGGAATAAATTAATAGTCAGTGGCAAGAACACTGTTCCTGCAGGACTTCAGCATTAGAAGGAATCCGATGAATCACTTAATTGGTCTAGTCTCCTTTCCGTCATGTCTGTCATGTCTGTCATGTCCGTCATGTCCTTGACAGAGGTGCATTCACACTTTGTTCCTTTGATATGCTGTGAGCAAAGGCCCCGATCTTTGAGTTGTAAGCTCAAGTGTAGTCATTTCCCTATCCTTTGCATTCCTGTCATTCCTCTCTAAAGTGTTCAAGAGGCCTGACCAGGTGGAATAAAGTAAGGTGGTGACCCTCTTTGATTACAGCAGTAGGTCTCCATCCCTGCTTGATAAGATTGCCTTCATGTCTCAGCAGTTGTCATAAGCACTGATGCATATTGAGCTGGTAGTCAGCTAAAACCTAACATTTTTCTTTTAAAGATTAAGGCTTTCCATTGTTGGGTTACAAATGAGGCAGTTGAAGCCATTTTACCTTTAGCCTTCTATTGGCTGATAGCTGTTCTCTATACAAGTTATTGTAGATCACACCTGTTACTTCCTGTGCCATGTTATAAACATGTATGAGAGGAGGAAACTTTATTGAGCACCCATTCTATACCAGGCTCTCCTACTTTATAATATATAATTTACATTGTGTAACATACATAAAATATCCAGCAGGGCAGTCTAGGGTAGCAGTTAACACATGGACTCTTGAATGAGATCTCCTTGATTAGAATTAGAGCCCTGCCACTTACCAGTAAATTCCTTAAACTGTGCTTGCCTCCGTTTCCTCATCTGTAAAATTAAAATAATAATCTCACCTACCTCACAGGGTAGTTGTGATGATTTGATAAATTAATATTAATATATTCAAAGCATTTATAATGGTGCTGGCACATAATTAGAGGTGAATATGTATTAGCTATTACCTCATTTAGATCTTAAAATAATTATGAGTTAATAATATAATTTCAGTTTTACAGATGAGGAAACTCATCCAGAGAGGGTAGGTTACTTATTTCAGGCAGATCAGGATTTGAACTTGTGCCCAGCATAGCAGTCATAGATGTTTATGGGAAGAAATCACACATAATCCCCTTCCAGTGAAATGGACTGTGACTGTGGCAGGTGCTTAGAGTCTCCTCAGCTGCTCTGCAGGATGCTTTGGTTGTCCCTCTAATGAGACTAGACCACATATTAGCTTTAAATCAATTGATGAGGAAACAATGACTCTGGAAGATGGAACCAGTCCTAGCAATCAGTTTCACCCAAGACCATGAGCTCCTTGCAGCGGGGACTGCCATACTCATATCTGTATCCTAGCACCCTGCACTGATGTGTCATAGGCACTCCAAAAGTGCTGTTGGTGAGTGGGTGGCGGTATGGAGCTGGCGGAGCTAGTAGGAGAGGCCGAAATAATGCCAGGCTTTTTGTCACGGGTGACTGAAGACATGGCACTACCTCCCTCTGTGATAGCAAATGCAGGAGAAGGAGGCAGGCCTAGAGGGTTAAGAAGGAGAGAGAATGCATTGGATTTAGATGAGTGGTGTGTAATCCCAGTAGAGATACTTAGTAGGCAAATAGAAATATGACGGGAGAACAGGGTTGAAATTACACTGCAGACTGCTTTTGAATTTGAAACCTGAACAAGTATCCCTAGAATCGCAATTGTGTAATTTCAAGAAGGGAGTTTTCCCAAGAAATGCTATTAAGTCACATTATGGATGTTGTTCTGTGATTATTTTAGATTTTACGTCTTACTGTCTCAGCATTATGTAGGTGGGAAGCAATTTAATTATATAGTAGAGAAGTGAGAAATTGTAGAGGTTTTAGAAGTCAGATGTTAAAATGCACAATATAAATGACACTCTGTAAACCTTATTTCCTCAATACTGTAAGTGCCTTTGAAGAGCTAAGTAAAGTGAAAAATTCTTAGGTTGATAAAATAGAAAGCTCAGGTGGTTTATGGTAGAAATCATGCTGGGGGTAATTATGTCATGAATAAATAAAATCTTTTTCATTCAGGAATAGTTTAGGCTGAAATCAATAAAATCGAATTGTCTAAACCAATAGGATGGGAGAAAAAACAGAATTATATTCATCTATATACAAAATAGTGAGGGTTTTTTTGTTACCCATTTCAACTATTTTATAATTGCCAAATCTTAACTGGGGAGGTTAGATTTCACATCATCCATATTAAAAGCTCAATTTTATACTAATGAAGCCAGATTTGCAATATTTTAGGAAAATAATTTTAAGATATATTTCTGTTGCTTTAATGATGAAGCACACTGCTTATTTAAATATGTGTGATTAGCTAGGCTTTCTCTTCTATAGAATAAATTATTTATTGCAAAGATTTGAGGTGTTTTTATCACATCTATTAGGATTTGAAAGATTATTGTTGAATAACTTCATATTTTAAATTCAGTTTTTCCTGCTTTATTCTTCGTATATTTAGAAATTGTTACTAATAAAATAATTAGAGTAGCCAGAAAAGACTATTGGGATTATTTAGTGTACTTGTTTTACATATGCTTAATCTGAGATCAGGAGAGGTGGCAGTCTATTTACTGAATTATTTAAGCTTTTGAATTACAGTGCCCTTTTGTTATTGTAAATAAAGATAGCTTTAATCTTTAAAAATGTATTTCATTTCTGGGTGGCTCACTTGGTTAAGCTTCCAACTCTTGATTTCAGCTCAGGTCATGATCCCAGGGTTGTGAGATTGAGCCCCACATTGGGCTCCATGCTGGGCATGGAGCCTGCTTAACATTCTCTCTCCCTCTCCCCCTCCCCCCATTCTCTCTCCCTCTCCCCCCACCCCGAAATGTATTTCATTATTTAAAGGAATGTTTGAGCATTTGTTTTTCTCTCTTAGTTTTGAAAATTTCCCAGAATACAATTATATTCATTACCTTTTTTATATTTTTATCTTTCAGGAGTCAAGAGAAAGCAGTGGAAGTTGGAGTCATTGTCAAGTGATTGAGACCTTTTGCAAGAAAATCTCTTTGAATAAAAGTCATTTAAATTAGTGACATAACAAGACCAGTTATTAGAGGTGACAGTGTACAGGAAACATTAAAATTGAACAATGACTCAGCTTTATATTTACATCAAATTATTGGGAGCCTATCTGGTCATCATTTCTTGTGTTCAAGGTAAATCAGTGTTCATTTAAGTAATCTTTTTCAATATTTTATTTCTATATTTAAAATAACCATTCTTGAAACTGCTTCTTCTACTTATGTGCCTTTTTGAACAGTTAGGCTCAGTATGCCGGCATAACTTTTTTTTTTTTTTTAAAGGTTTTATTTATTTGACAGAGAGAAAGACAGCCAGAGAGGGAACACAAGCAGGGGGAGTGGGAGAGGGAGAAGCAGGCTTACCACGGAGCAGGGAGCCCGATGTGGGGTTCGATCCCAGGACCCTGGGATCATGACCCGAGTTGAAGGCAGACGCTTAACGACTGAGCCACCCAGGCGCCCCGCCAGCATAACTTTTAAGTAAAAAGGCAAAGAACAAATACATGCCAGATAATTTTGAACTTGATTGTGATAGAAACATTTTCAGATATTTGTAAAATTTCAGCCTCTCTGAATCTGTTCTCTTATCCATAACATAGGCATTATGATATGCAACATTAAATCTTGTGAGGATTAAAGTATAAAATAAAGTATCTGTCCTAGTAAGACTAGGACACAGGGTAATAGGTACTCAAGACATAGTTTTAAAATTCCTTTCTCCTTTAAAATACAATACAGAATAAATGTAAATAATTTAAAAAATCATTCTGTCATCATTAAAAAACTTCAGAAAGGTAAGTTGCATTTGTATATGCCAAATACTAAAATTTCTTCATAGAATACTCAAAAGTTTTATTTATGAACAGCATTGTAATTTTGTGTTCATAGCTTGGAATTCCCAAACAGGAAATTACTGTGATGACTCTGAGGATCAGACAGGCTATATTTGCACATGGGATTTTTCCCAAATGGTTTAATTAGGACATTATTTCAAACTGAAGGGAGAGTACTGTTTTGCAAAAGGATTTTAGATTAAAGTTATTGGGTATCTTCATTCTCTTAAGTTTATGTCATCACAGATTGTTCTTTCATAAAGTTTTGTTCGGAGTGATAAAGATTAATATCTACTAGCAAGAAATACAGTTAACAGCACAAATTTTTTGACAGTTTCATTTTTTTTAATGTATTTATTTGAGAGAGAGAGAGAGAATCCCAAGCAGACTCCCTGCTGAACATGGAGCCCAATGTGGGGCTCAGCCGCATGACCCTGAGATCATGACCTGAGCCGAAACCAAGTGTCAGACACCTAACCTATTGAGCCATCCCAGGCGCCCCTGATGTTTTCATTTTAAAGATAAAAATAAAATCTGTAGCTTCATATTTTGTCTTAGGTGTAATTGATACCATTAGTATTTTCTTGCTCAGAATACAGAGAGCCTTCTTCCAAAAGCCACTTTTTTTTGGTGAGATGCCAAATTATTTAATAAAACACCTTTAACAGCTCTTGTTATATGTCTTGTTGATCAGCACCAGCCAAAGCTGTTTTGAAGATGAGTTAAATTAATAGCATATTTGCTACCTCACTCCCAGATAATTAGTATTTGATGTTAAATTTTTTTTAAAAATCTATATAGATCACACAGAGGCAGTGTAATTCAAAATTCTTTCCCCACCCTGATTCAAATTATTCTGTAATAAACTTTTATTAGATGAAATAAACTGGTCATTAGTTATTAGATATAAGCAAAAAATATCGGTAAGAATTACATTTCTGTGATGAATAGCCAAATGTGTTACATTTCCTTTCAAAAAGATTAGTTTGAGAGTTGCTTTATATAAAATAAAAATACTTAGTCTTAAAACTAAAACCAATGTAGAAGAAAATGTTATTTCTTAGAGATTACTAAGGATTAGAAGTGGTGTTAGTGGAAATGGCTTTAGCTTCAACTTTAGCTTCAGTTGTGTCACGGGAAAGTAAATTTCTCCATATTATTGGTTTCCTAGTTGTAAAATAGAAACAATAACATGTATCCTAGATGTAAACAGGAATTTTTGGAGCATTAGATGTTTTGATAAAGATTTAAGTCCTTTACATTGAGATAAAGTTATTCAAGTTGAATCAAAGAATGTGTCACCTGATACTAACATCTAATTGCTATTTAGTTCTTGTTTTTGGCTTGGTCACAAGTTTTAGAAATGGATTTTAGCTTTAAGAAACTGATTACCCAACAAACAGTGACTTAAACAAACAGATTTATTTTTTGATGTAGATGGTAGATATTTGCTGGTGCTCATTCAGTAGTTGAGTGGTGTCAAGGTTGACATTTGTAGTTTTCTTGGCTTTTCCCTAATGGTTACAAAACGGCTGCTGTTATCTGCATTGGAGGAAGGAAAAATGGGGAAAGGGTCAGCACTGACTTCAACTGCATGTTATTTCAGGAAAGCAAAATGTCCCCAGAAACCAGCCTTCTGCTGGCAGATTTTATTGTGTTTTGTTGGATAAACTGAGACAGTTGCTAGGGCTACTGGAAAACTGGGAGATGGGGTTGTCACAGTCAGCGTAGATTAATCTAAGTCCATTGCCTATGGCTGGACACATGTCCCGCCAGACAAAATCAGTTTGGTCAGTTAGGAAGATAGGGAAAATAGATATCCTTGGGACAACTTAAAAAGTCTTGAACAGATTCTTTCTCTTCTGTCAGTTAAGGTGTTTTCAGCTCTAAGTAACAACAACAACAAAAAACCCAATTCAAAATAGCTTAAACAATAAGGAAAATGTATTACAAAACAGGAAGTCTGACGGTAGGGGGATTTCAGTAAGTTAATTCCTTGGCTCTCATCAAGTTCTTTCTCTTTTTCAACTGTATTCTCCTCCACCTATTAATTTAGCCCTAGGTTAAACTGACTCCATGGCCACAATGTGGCTGCTGTGGGGCCAGAGATCCCATATAGATAGGGCAAATTTGAGTTGGCAGCATTCAGTAGAAGAGGGAATGGATGTCTCTCGTGTCTCTTTTTAATTGGTAAAGAAATCTTTCCCCAGGCATCTCTCCTGTTCCTTCCCCTTCCTTTTCCAGTGGACTTCCTTCTAACTTTATTGGCCAGAAGTAATTTATGCTCTTGTGTCAGCAGTGGCAAGGGGACTAGAACTAAAATTGTTGGATTAGACAAAACAGTTGTCTCTACTGAGGGTAGGGCTGTGCTTCCCTGAATCACATGGAGGAGGGGGCAAATATTTAAAAAAGGGTGTGTGTGTGTGTGTGTGTGTGTGTGTGTGTTTAGCAAGGTAAAGGGAAGAAGAACACCTAACAACAGTTGTTGCAGGGTACTACACCCGTCTACCTAATCTCATACATATCCTTCTCGCATGCATATGCTAGAAGTGCTCGTGTCAATGGAAATACTCAATTCCTCCTCAAAGGTATATATGTATATATAACCCAGAGGTTTATCCACTTAATGCACTCGGCCACTCATCCGAGACTTTTGGGTAGTATGTAACCTTGTCCACCAGATTCATATGGGCCTCTTCATGGTCTAGCAGTGGGTAGCTAAGAGAGAAATTGTTGGTGCCCAACACACCCAGTATTCAGTGATGAAGAAGAAATTGGATAAGTACTATATGAACTCCCATTCAGAAGGACAACTTGGAAGCCACCTTCAGTAGTCACCACTCCGTAGCACATAGATTAAGGAGAATTGTTACTGATCACTTCGTACATGCAAAGCATCGATGTCCCATTGGTCTCTCCAGCTCCCCTACCTTTTGCCTTCTGATTCCTATTCTAGACATTCTGTCTTAAGGACGGGGGAGGGCTTTCTCTGCTTTGTACAAAGGAAGACCATAGATGACTGGGAAAGTAAGAAAAATTATTTAGTCAGGAAAAAAATTGTAAAATCATGGATGCCAAAAATTGCCATTAATGACAAAGGAAGCTGGTATAAATGTGTCTATATATAGTCACTTGTATCTTTTAGCTATTCATCTCTGTATTTATATATATTTGTGGTTTTTTCTCAGTTGTTACACTTGAGCATGTAAACTTTAAGTATTTTTTTGCATGTATTTGTTTGAAATACAACCTATAGCTTCAGCCCACCCCAGACCTCATAATTTTATGCTTTGTAAACACAGGACTAGTGAGTAGAAAAAGATTGGCATATTGTAGGAACTGACAGAAGGCTAGCATGCCTGAGCATGGTGGAGGGTAGGTGCTGTGAGTTGATGTTGGAGAGGTACACAGGGTCCAAATCCTACTGGCGGTGGGCATGGTGAAGGAGATTGGAGTTTATTCTGAGTGCATGTGGAGCCATTAATTGGTTTTAAGCAGAGAGTGACAGGATCAGATTTATGTTTCTAAGATAACTCTGGCTCCGATGTGGGAAATGGATGGGAGGGCCCAAGAACAGAAGTAGGGAGGTGAGTGTGGAGATTCCTATCTCAGAAGTGGCACGGCATGATGGGGCCAGGTAATAGCAGTGGAGTTGGAAAAAAGTGGAAAAACTTGAGATCTATTTTGGAGATTGAGCCAAAAAGACTTGGGGAGATGGGTTTGAGGAGATACGTTAATGAGTTCCATTTTGGACAAGTTAATTTTGAGATTACTTAAGCAGGTCAAGGCTGGAGGGGTAAATCTAGGAACTATCAGCAAGGAGATTTGTTTAGACCATGGGGTGGGTGCTGTCACCTAGGGAGATACTGCAGAGAGGCTGTTGCTTAGTTATTTTTCTCTGCATCCATGCCTCTATTTAGGGAAATCTTGTAACTTTGAGATACAGCTTAGTTTTCATTGCTTTTGACACCTAGGCCGACTTTGTGTTACAGGCTCTTTCCTTCGTTTACCTTTGTATTATATCACTTTTCACAGTGTGTTTATTTATGTGCTTATTGTCCTTCCCCATTTCTCAAGGACCAGATCAGTTTCCAGCAATCGGTAACTTGCCTGCACGTAGCTGGCCTCTAATTAATGTTTTTCTTTTTTTTTTTAAAGATTTTATTTATTTATTTATTTGAGAGAGAGAGACACACAGCGAGAGAGGGAACACAAGCAGGGGGAGTGGGAGAAGGAGAAGCAGGCTGGCTTCCCGCAGAGCAGGGAGCCCGACGTGGGACTCGATCCCAGGACCCTGGGACCATGACCTGAGCCGAAGGCAGTCGCTTAACCGACTGAGCCACCCAGGCGCCCCTAATTAATGTTTTGTTAAGTAAATATTTGAGGTAATATAAACCCCAGATGCAAGTTATTATAATTAGGATTTTTAATTTCCTAAATTCAGATAGTGTTTTGGGAAATTATGTGTATTAACCATGATATAACTTTGAATATTCTAGGTATTGGTGATCTTTTAGTATGATCTTTGTTATTAAATAATTTCTTCATTTGTACCCTATTTTATATGTAATTAAGCCCTTTATTATACATTCATTTCATCTATATATAACCTTGAGTTGAATTGGGCAGGAATTATTATCGCCATTTTTTAGAGATAGAAGAAGTTCAGAGAGTAACATCTATGGATATATTTGGGAGTTGAACCCTTACCTTCACACTGTTATTTCTGTGTCATTTCTATCACACTATACTGCTTTTTCTGTGTATCACTAGATATTTGAAAAATTAATTGCATGTAGTATATTATTTACCATTTGCTCTCCATACTTAAATTAGTGCTTCCTTCTGTTATCGTAGTGGATTTTAAAGCTGGTGAAGAGACTTCAGGTGGCCTCTAGTCCTGTAGTCTTACTGAGTAAATGAGGTCTGAAGAAGTGACAGGGCTTGTCCGGGTCATCCAGCTAACTAAACTGTGGTGGGACCATCGTAGGACCATAGTAGACCACGGTCCAGGTCGCCTCATTTTTAGCCTAGTGGATTTCTTCTATTCTTGGCCATCCCACCCTTTTGTTACTTTTTACAGTTGACATTCCTAACGTAAATGAGGTCTTTAAGCTTTGTTATCAATTTAAAGGGTTAAATGAAGATTATTAAAATTCAAGGCATGGAGTCACTAAAAAAAAAATTAGCAGCACATTCTTTTCCTGTTATCAGTGTGTGTTTGTGTGTTACTTTTTCTTTTCAATAGTTCATCATGGCTAAATTTAAAGTCAAGTCCACATTGGAGGAGCAAGATGGCAGAGGAGTGGGAGACCTAAAGTCAAGTCCACATTATGCTTGAACCACTTATTTAACATTTATAATGAAATGTTTATACACAATTCTCTTAATATTTTATTCCCTGGAGGTCAACCCTACAAGGAGTAGGCTAGCCAATTTCAGCTGATTCGGAGAGAGGGAGGAATTACTAAAACGTTTTAGTTCTTTTCTGCTTTCAGCCTGAAAGATTCAGTACCAAATATGACAGTATCTGTCATTTGAGGCTACTTGACTCTAATGCAAGAACACAGTTCTATTTTCATAAGCTAACGACTGCCCTACAGTAACCTTCAGTTTCTGGCAGCATAGGCTGGATTTGAACCAATGACCTTGAGATAAAAGGCACCAGATAATATGATTAGTCCCCATGCTCTCACAGTTCCCTTACTTAAGCAATTAAAGTCCAAAGCGAGATGCTTAGTAATTGCACTTCCACGCAGAGGCACAAATAAAGGACTTATTTTTTTTTTTAAGCTAGTTCCAAGTCTTCAGCCAAGGAGTTTAAGAACCATATTTGTGTATTTTTTTAATGATCGGAAACAATCTCAGACTTCCCTGAAATTGCTTCTCATTTTGTACCTTTCTTAAAGTCATGACCATAATCTTCTACCTTTGCCACATTGTTTTCCACTGTGCAAAATTTGTGACATAGTCCTCTCCATATGTCCCACAATACCTGGGACGGTTATTCTGTGCATAATAGGTTATTAACAAATGTTAAATGTATGAATGAAGTGTATTTTTAATTAAACACAGTAGCTGTCATACTGTAATAAGAAAACCTAGAAACTTCTCATTGGAAATTGAAATTGAAAGAATTAGCTTTTCAGAAATGGTTTATTCACAGATTTCATATTTGAATACAGGGCAGAATCTAGACAGTATGCTCCACGGTACTGGGATGAAATCGGACTCTGACCAGAAAAAATCAGAAAATGGAGTAACCTTAGCACCAGAAGATACCTTGCCTTTTTTAAAGTGCTATTGCTCAGGACACTGCCCAGATGATGCTATTAATAACACATGCATGTAAGTATTTTATGCAGTCCTTCTTAAAGTTATGAGAATAGGAGCGCATTTGGTGCTATTTTAAGAATTGTTTACATTGTTTAAGGTTGTTGGTTTTTTTTTCTTTAATTTTATATGGTATCTTTCCAAAGAGCCAAAAAGCTTCTTGTTCTGTATATGGGGATATTTAGTACTACTACATGATTGATGGTTCTTTTCTTACAGTAACACTGTAATATCCTTTTTAAAGGAGGTAAAAGGAATCTGGTATTTGTCTAACATTTTGAGTTTATTTAATAATCTTTTTATCATAAAGTTTACTGATACTTATTGTAGAAAATTTAGAGATTACCAAAAAAGAAATTCACCCAAAATCTTATAATTCTGAATTGGTTGAAATATTTTACAGAAAGATAGAAGTTGATACTGTGATACTTAATTTTATTTTACTTTCTTACAAGTGAGCTCCCAATCCAAATCTGATTTATATGACAGTTTTAAATTTTCCTACTTAATTTTATGTTAACTATTCAACACATTTATAAATGATCATATAATTCTATTCCATATTGTTTGGGGACATTGAAGAATTGGCTTACTAGCCAAAAAAATTCGCTGAACAACACAGTCTCATCAGTTAATTAACTGTGTCCCTGTTATGAAGGTAATAACGTCCTGCTTTGTACTTTCCTAATGATTGTATGCTCTTTGAATGTCACCAGATATAAAGCCAAAAAGTATACATGTAAAATATTGAAATTATATGATAGTTCACCATGTCTTAGATTTGTTGTTTGTCCTCTGGTGGTAGTTGAATTTATTGTGACAGCCTGGATAATCTGTCATAGGGGAGTGTTCCACACTATGTCACCAGGTAATTTCTTGCCAAACTTATTGTCCGTAATACGTGCCTGATATGTGTGGGCTGTTAGTGGCTTAGTAATCCAGAATAACTGAAATCATTCATTTTAACAGAATTTTGCCCCACACTTAGCATTTTTCCTTACAAAAAAATTAATAATTCTGCAAGTCTTTTAAGTAGAAACAATATACTTACTGATATGAATAAGTAAGAGCACACAAAAAAGCTTTTGTTTTTATTTTTTTTAAGATTTTATTGATTTATTTGAGAGAGAGAGAGAGTGCACGCAAGTGGGAGGAGGGGCAGAGGGGAGAGGGAGAAAGAATCTCAAGCAGACTCCCAGCTGAGCATGGAGCCCGATACAGGGCTTGATCCCACAACCCTGAGACCATGAGCTGAGCCAGAATCCAAGAGTCAGACACAACCGACTGAGCTACCAGGCATCCCACAAAAAAAAATCTTTTACAAGTGGTTTCCTGCCCTTTAAAGTCTAAATGAATATATTAGGGGTAAACTCCAACATACTAATACTAAAATGACAACATTTCGTTAAATACATATATATGTAAATTTCTTGAAGCTGTTCAAAAGTTATCCCTTTTTTCATATCACATTCAGTAAAATGCACCTCTCAGGATCTTAGTCAGTCTGTTATTCCCAAGTATATTTTTCTTTGTCGTTTAGTCTGGTTTTGTGTTTCATAAAAAAGTTGTTTTTATTTGTCTATGGTATGTGAATACTGAAAATCCCATGGATAAAAAGAGGGAGTCTTTTTTAAAAAAGATTTACTTATTTATTTGAGAGAGAGAGAACAAGTGTTTACGAGTTGGGGGAAGGGCGGCGGGGGAGAGAGAGAGCGTGCGAGTCTCAAGCGAGTCCCTACTGAACATGGAGTCTTGCTCACGGGGCTTGATCCCACGACCCCGAGATCGTGACCTGAGCCTGAGCTGAAACCAAGAGTCAGACACTCAGTTGATTGAGACACGTAGGTGCCCTAAAGAGACAGCCGTTTTTTAAACATTAAGATTCTTTACTTTGTAAAATTTTATAAATCAGCTTCCTGTGATCACATGGCTGTGATTAGCAAAGAGAAGTTACATAATAATTCATATTTGGAGGACTCATTTTAAAAGAAATCTTTTTCCACCTTGGACCATTAGGTTTTAGTTCAGATGCCGAAACTCTTTCATTTGCCTGAAAACCCATAGAATTTTGCTGATAAATAACATGTGAATGCAGTTCTAGTTCAAAAAACAAGGTACTAAAGGTCATTAGTACCCAGTCACATTCAAATTGAGATTTAATTGGTACTTTCTGATGTGAAGTTATGTTTTTTGTTTTTTGGGGGGTCTTTTCTTTTAGAACTAATGGGCATTGCTTTGCCATCATAGAAGAAGATGACCAGGGAGAAACCACATTAGCTTCAGGGTGTATGAAATATGAAGGATCTGACTTTCAGTGCAAGGTAAGATCTCATTTGGGGCCTATGCAATAAAGAAGAGAGGGGCCATGTGAAAGTATTCCTCTCTCCAGGAGAAATGTGCCTGATCTGCTCATCACTGTATGTTCTTGTAAATCAAATATATTGGAGGAAGCTTAGCTCTTGCTTCAAGTAGTAGGATTGTGGTAATTGAAGTTCCAGATTATTTTACTTTAAAAAAAAGTTTTAAATCATCCTGTTTTCAAATTGTCATGACTGCAAAAAATATTGTCACAGTATCACCCATGGATTATAAAATTGACTGGAAGGACTTTAGGGTGATGGGCAGTAACCTTTGTGTCCCTGGGACAAATTCAGTCCTTGTAAGGAAATCTCAGTGGAGCTATTTTAACAGTAGCAGCAAAGGCATCAGAGAGCTGGTAATAAAGAGTTTATGAACATCCTGATGGCTCTCGGGTATAAACCTATTCTCTTCAAAATCCCGTATAGTAATTTTGCCCCAGCAATCCTTCCAGTGTTTTTGAAAAACAGCTTCAGACAGAACTGTTTGTTCACAGATTTAGGGTTCGACTATTTTAGGAAGTTATTCCCATTTTAAGAAATTCTCAGGATTGATAGAAACTTTAAAGGTTCTATGTTCCGACCTCTGCTAAAGTTGGGGATCCACACGTCTCCTCTATACATCCCCCTTCCCCCCCCCAAACACGTTTTGCATCCCATCTGTTTTTTTAGCGCAATGCCTGTAGTGACAGGGGCTCCTTGCCTCCCAAGACCACCTGTTTCATCTGTACGAACTTTAGAAAGCTTTTCCTCCTAATGACTATAAATCTCTTCCTGCCCCTTTGGACCACAGAGAACAAATCTAAAGCCTCTTTTTTTTTTTTTTAAAGATTTTATTTATTTATTTGAGAGAGAATGAGAGAGAGCACATGAGAGAGGGGAGGGTCAAAGGGAGAGGCAGACTCCCTGCTGAGCAGGAAGCCCGATGCAGGACTTGATCCAGGGACTCCAGGATCATGACCTGAGCCGAAGGCAGTCGCTTAACCAACTGAGCCACCCAGGCGCCCTCTTTTTTTTTTTTTTTAAAGATTTTATTTATTTACTTGAGAGAGAAAGAATGAGAGATAGAGAGCATGAGAGGGAGGAGGATCAGAGGGAGAAGCAGACTCCCTGCTGAGCAGGGAGCCCGATGCGGGACTCGATCCCGGGACTCCAGGATCATGACCTGAGCCGAAGGCAGTCGCTTAACCAACTGAGCCACCCAGGCGCCCCTCTAAAGCCTCTTTAATAAGATAGCCCTTTACTGTGTGAAGAAAGTTTTTTGTGTGGTCCTCTGTTCCTCCCCATACCGTCTTGTCTTTGCCCGTGAAAATGCTAGTTCCTGGTCACCTCAACTGCTCCGTGTATGATCAGCTTCAGTTACTCCGGTTTCTCAGTGTTACATGCAGAATCAAGTGTGGTTTGACCAGGCACACACAAAAAATGCAGAGAATAAATAACTCCTTTCCCTTTTTCTAAATACAGCCAAATCTCATGTTAGATATCGGATTGTCATGCCACACTGTTGAAACCTCTCGAGCTTCCGGTCAGCCAAAATACCCACCTTTCACTCATGCTACTGCTGAACCACACCTCTTCCATTCTTTATTGGTTCTTTTGGTTTCTTGACACAAATAGGATGGGAATGGAATGGGGTTTTGTTAAACAGTTGTTACATACTTGTCTATGTTAAATTTTATTATGTTAGAATTAGTCCTTTTCTGTAATTTGTCAGGATTTTGGGGGGATGCTAATTTGATTATTTCTTCCAGTTTTATGCCATTTGCATGTTTATAAACCACAAATTCTATACATTTTTTTAATCACTGAAAATTTTGAAAAAAGAACTGTGGTTAGAGCACTGAGCTCAGCAGTAATAACCAGTATCCTGAAAGCCCCCTAAACTAGGTGTATCACAAATTGAATTCCCTAATATAAGTTAGTTGCTAAAACTTCATAATGTGTGTTCCACTCCGTGTGCTGCTGCTTATAGCTGCAGAACTTTGGGGCACTTTTCTTTTTTAAAGTTGTTTTCTCACTTGTAAAGGAGTTGTAAGGATCAAATGATACGATAACGTATATGTAAAGAGTTTAGCACACAGGGCTTAATAAATGTTAGCTCTGATGATATAACTGAGCAGTCACTAAGCCAGTTATGTGCATCCCTAGGTACACACAGACTGTGTCACACAAGGATCGCATAGGCTAGTGGATAGTTCAGGGGAGTTGCTTTCCAGAGCCTAGTCCTCTTGGCCTGCCTGAGAACAGGGCTCCCCAGGCAGTTTCTGTTCCTTTTTTCCTTTGCACAACCACCCATCTCCCTCCTGGTTTACAGATTAAAGGCCTGGGACCGAAAACCTCATTTCCAAACAGTGTTGTAATTCAAATCTAAGTATCTAAGCTCACATGACTCTGGACAAATCACACAAATGGACATGGGTGGCAGATGGGAGTGGGGGAGTGTAGGAATAGGAAAGGTCCCCTCCCCCAACTTGACCATCTCATCTTTGCCCACCCAGGTAGCCTACCTAAGAGAGGAGGGAGCGGAGGCTGCTATTGCTGTTCTTGGTGAAGCCACTTTGGCTCTTCTAGGAGTTTATAAGCATTTTTGGCTTGTTCTAGAATCCCCACTAGGATCATGTCACATTTGCTAGAGCAAGAAGAATTAATTTATCGAATATTTACTGTTTGCATTTAATATGCTAGGTGCTTGGTATATGCTACCTCATTTCCTCGCAGTTGCCCCGTAAGGCAGGTGTTTTTTTGTCCTCCATTTTACAGCAGAGGAAACGAAAGCCCAGAGAGAAGTTCATCGTTCACAAAGTTAGTAAGTGGCAAAGCTAGGATTTAATAAACTGTTTGGTTCCAGAGCCCTTGCTTTTTCCATATTACCATGCGGCCTCCAAACTCTAGTTGGCCAAGTCTGCTTTCTTTTTCTTTAAAAAAAAAAAAAAAAAAAGTATAACATTTAGCCCTTCAGTCTCCAACACTTGTTCTTGCTAAAATCTTCCCATCACGCAAGCCTTCCAGGCCTCTCTCTTCCCTTGCTTGGTGTGATCACCTGGCTTCAGCTTTGAGGGCAGGCACTCATGCAGAACACAGGAGCCCTGGAGGATCTCTTCCTGTGTCTGGGAGAGCGGCTCCCACTGCATGGTGCTGATCTTTGTCCCCCTCATCTGTTCTGTCAGCAGCACATCCATTGCTTGGTGGTCGGTTTTCTAGCATTGCCAGAGAAACCCTTTCTTCGTTTTTCTTTGTATTTTCTCTTCTGCAAGGCTCAGCTCATTTTGATCGTTAGCCTTCCTGCAGCTGTTCTTGGATGCTTCGTAGTCCTTGTATTCATCTTTAGTTATGTACTCTTCATTCCATCCTTCGTGTAAATGTCCTCGATCTGGGATTATTTCAGAGTCACCTGTATAACTCCTAACATATCTGTCTTTTCTCTTTTTATGATCATTTAAAAGTAAAAATTGTTTTAATGTTAAAAATTCAGTTAAAGTGTAAAACTTGTGGTTTTGAAAGTTTCCAAATACTCTTGACCCACCTTCCCTGACAGAATCTCAAGTCATGGACTCCTGTTCACCTTTTTAAAGTCATGCTCAAGCATACTGAAGTTTTTCCTTTCTGGCCATCTGATATTTAAGAATAGCATGGTCAATTTCTGCTTATATTGTTGCTACTTTTATAATGACAAGCAATTCCTTTCTGTTACTATTTTGGTTCAGAATGGCAGTTTTCCCAGCAGTGCTGAAATGTCAGCATTCAAGTTAATAACTTGTCAAGTACTGTACCAGTCAAGTCAAACTTCACACATAATTGTTGATGTCTGTTCTCATGACTACGGTTTTTTCCTCTGCTCATTTTCTGACCTATTAGGGACACATCTCATATCTAGGTGGTGGTAGACTCTAAGAAGCTCAGGAATATGGCTTCTATATTTTCCCTTTGTCCTCACTGCATCTGCTTTAACTTGCTTCTGTGTGGGGTTCATTAGTTACAGCGAAGTTGTAAGCAGACTCTGCAGTATCTTCTACTTACTTGACTACTTTTTCTGACATGTCTTTTCTTTAGACTGGGATACCCTCCATTTAAGTACTGCTATGAGATCCTGTGTACCCTACTAGTTCATCATTGTGATAAAATGTCTTATCCATGTTTTTTAAGGAAAAGATCCCATGACTTACATTTTTATTAAAACAAATGAATAGTAATATATTAAGATATGCCAAAGTTTTGGTGTAAAATACTTATGAACTTATGTTTGTAATTTATAGTTCAGTGTTCCAACACACCATCCACATACATATGTTCTCCTTAGGAAAAATAATTTCACAGTCTTCACTATTTCAGCACAGATTCTAATTTTTCAGTAATCCTTTTTTACACATAAAATTCGGAGGTCTTGTTCTTTCAGCTGAATTAAAAATTATATTTATGAATATTAAAAAAACCTCATTATCAACTTAAAATATCAAGCCATTTTTAATTTTATCATTACTCTTCCTCTAGGATTCGCCAAAAGCCCAGCTACGCCGGACGATAGAATGTTGTCGGACCAATTTATGTAACCAGTATTTACAACCTACACTGCCCCCTGTTGTCATAGGTAGGTTAGCCGAGAAGAGCATGATCATGATTTTCAGTAAAATATTTTCTCTGGCTTTAACAGTAAGCAAGCTTTCTAGAATTTAACACTACAAACTGTTTTTCCCCTCTAATATGTGATAGAAAGATAATATGTATGCTTTATTGTTTACTCCCCTTGTCAGGTCCATTTTTTGATGGCAGCATTCGGTGGCTGGTTGTGCTCATTTCTATGGCTGTCTGCATAATTGCTATGATCATCTTCTCCAGCTGCTTTTGTTACAAGTAAGATAATTATTTTGATACAAAATATATTTTGTTGAATATTACGTATGAGCAGTTCTTTAAAAGCCAGTGCAAAGAAATTATTGAGACGCCATTAACTTGTATTCTCTGGTTCTATCTCCTTTAGGTTATAATCTCCTAACTAGATTATAATTTTCTTAAGGGAAAAGAGAACCTTACTACTAATCAGTTAGTTGAACGCAACTTTATACTTCTTGTTTTATTCATGAGTTCTTATGATTTTTCTTATTTATAGAATATTGAACTTTCTTATATATGAGTGTTGAAGATCTGTCTCAAAAAGCCAAGTACATTATCATTCATTAGTTATTTGTGGCTTCAGAATTGTTTGTGTTTAGTTGTGATTTCAGAGGACAGTTGCCAAAAGAGAAGAGTAGCAACAGGAGGGGATAAACTTCAGTAATAAAGCTTCATCTTACTGGCATACGAATAGACCAAGAGATCAGTAGAACAGGTTATTAGACCCATAAATAGACCCAGGTATATAAAGAAATTTAGTATATGGTAAAGGGAACATTTCGGATCACTGGGGATAATTCTATAAATGGATTTGGTAGTAGGTAGCTATATGGAAAAAGATAAAGTTTTTTTTTTTTAAAAAGATGAAGTTTAATCAGTTACCTACACTGGAATAAATTTTACCCAGCTTGGAACTAGATATATGGAAAATGAAGTGATTAAAGCACTGGAACAAACCCGTGGAAGAATTTTAAAAAATAATCTCAGGATGTGGAAGCCCTTTCTGAGTCTGACACAAAACTGAAAAGCAAAAAAACCACACACACAGAAAACAAAACTTTAAATTAAAAAAAAAAAATTGTGTCAATTACGTAAAAATAAAACTTTACTAGGTGGCAGAAACCACCATAAACAGAATGCGAACAGTGAAAAATATCGGCATCTTATATTACAGAGAGCTGATTTCTCAAATATAGAGAGCTTTTATAAATCAAAAAGAAAAAAACCTTAACAGTTCAGTGGGAAAATGAATATTTACCTAAAAGGAAATACTTAGAGTTCTTAAAAGCAAAATAAAAAGATGACCCAAGAATACTCACCATATGAAAAATACAAATTAAAATCATACTGAGATACTGTTTTTCACCTGTTATACTGGCAGAAATTCTTAGATAAAGAGGCAGGTTGAGCATACTTACTCTTGCTGCCTCCAGTAAAAAAGCAATAGTTTTTAACTTCTTTGTCCAACTAGGACGAGGAAAACAGGAGATAACAGCAAAAAACTTTGGAACTTGGGAAGCTTTTGGATAAGTAGTAAGTGACTTTGCAGACCTAAAAAATCAGACTCCTAGGCTAGACTTTTGAGACAGTAAAAAAGCAACCAGTTTATATCATAGAATTCTCCAAGAAGCTCAAGAATCGGCGGTACCAGTTATCTCTGGAAGTAAAGTTGAGAGTGGCAGTAAAACCAAGAGGATTGCTTGAAAGTCTATTTTTAGAAAGTCAGATGCTGTGTGTGTTACGCAATAGTGCATTAAGAAATCACTCCCAAACACAGTGGCTTAAAACAGCAATTATTGTCTCTCACGGTGGGTCAGAAATTCAGGAGTGAGTGACTGGGTGTCAGGATCTTTCATAACATCCAGTCAGATGTCAGCAGAGGGTGTGTTCGCCTGAAGGCTTGACTGGAGCTGGTAGATCACCTTCCAAGATAAAGGTAGCTCACTTCTAAGGCTCACAAATTGGCGGGAAGCCTTAGTTTCTCTGATGTGAGCCTCTCTACAGAGCTGCTTGAGTGTCCTTGCAGCGTGAAGCCTGGCTTTTTCCTCCTAGAGTGAGTGATCCAGGAGATTAAGGTGGAAGCTGCAAAGCTACATGCAATCTAGACTCAAAAGTCACACCATCACTTCTGCCACATTCTCCTGGTCACACAGGTCAGCCCTACTGTGTTATGGAAGGGAACTAAACAAGGACATGCATACCAGGAGGTGAGGGTCCTTGTGGGCCATTTTGGATGGCAAGTACCACAGATGATGAGATTCGCTACTCCTGTTCTGAATAGTCACTTCCCCACCATCTCCCTAATAGAAGGCTAGAAGTGTATTCTCTGGAAAGAACAAAGATAAGATTCTTAGTGTGGCATCCATTTATCGAGAGTGAGGTATTACAGTGAAAACATGGAGGTACAGTGAACATTTACATACTGATTGGTGGGCCCCTCAACTATCCCAGAACCCTGTCAGCCAGGCTTGTTCAAATAACAAATTGGAAGAATCTTCTTGGGGAAATCCGTCCAGCCCAAGAGAAAAGACCTAAGTATACTGACCCCAATGGACCCAATGAAATGGCCCAGGCAGTCATCTTACAGTGAAGCCTATAATCAGTAAACCCCACTCACATACTAATAACTGCCCATCAGGCAGTGAAAGACACTAATCCCTGAAAAACAGGAGATAAATGAAGTGAGCCTTATGATTGCCCTCCTTACTGCCCAGAGTTTCTAGCTATAGGACACAGGAGGAACCCAGGTGTAGCCCAGAAGGCTCTGACTCTCCAGGAGATGTAGCTGAGTCGGGGGTACGAATAGCAGTTATAGTTCATAGGACAGAGTACTGGAGAGGAGAGTGCTTCACAGGGAAAGAACTCTGGATATATTCAGAAAGTTCCCATCAAATATTCAGCTGAATCTTGATCAGCACGTACAAGTGAGGAAACTACCCAAGTCTGGGAAAGAGTGCCTGAAAAGACTGAGGAAAACATTGTTCGATGCTCACACAATCTGGGAATAGTGTCTGTTCCCACCAGCTGTGAGACTTGAAAACCTCATAATTCACAGGCCTTTGGTTAGAGTACTCAGAAGGGTCTTGCTTCAGTATTGCAAATAATTAGCCCTAGACTAAAAATGACACTGGTCGCACCTCAGAAGGATTGTCCTGTTTCCAAATAGCTGTATCCTAGAACATAATTCAAGAATATTCAGAGGGATACAAAAATACCCAGCACCCAACAAGGTAAAATTCACAGTGTCTGTCATCCAGTCAACAATCACCAGGCATGCAAAAATACAACCAATACAACCAATAATGAAGAATCAAAAACACCAACCCAGAACTGATCTAGATTTTAGAATTAGTAGACAGGGGCATTAAGATAGTTATTATACCAGTATTTTATATGTTCAAAAAGTGAAATAGAGACAAAGAAGATATAAAAAGACCCAAATCAAACTTTAGGAAATGAGATCTGTACTATCTGAGATGAAATGTACACTGGCTGAGATTAATGGCAAATTAGATACTATAGAAGAAAATAGGATTAGGCATGAAGACATTGCAATAGAAACTAAACAAACAGAGTGCCTGGGTGGCTCAGTCAGTTAAGCGCCTGCCATTGGCTCAGGTCATGATCCCAGGGTCCTGGGATTGAGTCCTGCTTCGGGCTCCCTGCTCAGTGGGGAGCCTGCTTCTCCCTCTCTCTCTGCTGCTCCCCCTACTTGTGCTCGCTCGCTCTGTCAAATAAATAAATCTTAAAAAAAAAAAGAAACTACAAACTAAACCATTAAAAAATAACTTAAAAAAGGAATTAAGCACCAGTGAGCTGTGGTACTTCAAACAGCCTAATATGTGTGTGTGTGTGTGCGTGTGTGTATTTGTGTGGAATACTGCAGGGGTTAGGGGCACCGATGCCTGTGCAGTCAAAAATCTGTGCATAACCGACTCCCCCAAAACGTAACTACTGATAGCCTGCTGTTGACTGGAAGCCTTACCAATAAAACAAAACGCCTGATTAACACACATTTTTTGTCTGGTGTGTACTATATGCTATATTCTTAGAGTAGAGTAAGCTCTTAGAGAAAAGAAAATGTGTTAAGAAAATCATGAGGAAAGAAAATGCATTTACAGTACTATGCTGTATTGAAAAAAAGATCTACATATAAATGGACCCATGCGGTTCAAACCCCGTCATTCAAGGGTCAACTGTATATACACTGGAGTTCCCAAAGGAAAGGAGAGAAGAGGAGGAGAGAGAGTGAAATATTTTAAGAAATAATGACCAAGATTTTTTTCAGATTTAATTAGAACTGTAAACCCGTAGAGCCAAAGTACAAGAAACTCAAAACTACACCAAGGTACATCATTATCAAATTGCTCAAAGCCAGTAATAAAAAAAATCTTAAATGCAGCCAGAGAAAAAAGGCAGATTAGGTATAGAGGAAGAAAGGTAAGGATGATGGTAGCCAACTTTTCAGGGGAAACAATGCCTAGAGCAGAGCAGCATCTTTAAAGTACTCAAGGAAAGGGGCGCCTGGGTGGCTCAGTCAGTTAAGCGTCTGCCTTCGGCTCAGGTCATACTCTTGGGGTCCTGGGATCGAGCCCCGCATCAGGTTCCCTGCTCAGTGGGGAGCCTGCTTCTCCTTCTCCCTCTACTTGGGCTCTCTCTCTCTGCCACATAAATAAATAAAATCTTTAAAAAAAAATAGATGAATATAGAACTTGGATAAAATTAAAAACAAAGTTCTAAAAGTGTTATAAGGGGGTGGATGAGAGTGTGGGGAAGATGGGCTGTCCTATAAGGGTGGAGGGTTTGTAACTGGTATAACCTTCAAGGAGGAGGTCAGTAGAGCATGCCATCAAAATTCCAAATTCAGTTCTAACTTCTAGCAATGTGTATACAGATATGCCAGGAACTTTTTCCATTTTAGCCTTGTATGATATAAGACTAGAAACAGTGTAAATGGTCCTGGTGAGGGAATGGTTAACTGCCATACAATGGAGTACTGTTCGCCATGAAAGGAAGAGGAGGCTCTATGTACTGCTGTGGAATGGATGCAGATGGAGGGCTCAGTGAGAACGCAAGCTGCAGGATGGCGTGTATGGCCATACTACCATTTCTGGAAGAAAAAAGAGAAACGGGGGAGGTGAACAGCAGTATATATATTTTTTATCTAAATAGACATAAAGGCTGTCCTGAAGATTACCGAACAGATTGTGGAAACCGTTCCAGTTCCGGGCTTTTTCCAGTTCCTCCTTGATGGCGTAGGGATAGGGCAGGAGGAAGATTTTTCACTGCACATCCTTCTCTGCGAATTTTAAACCATTTGTGAGTCAGTTACTCATAGAAGGTTTTAAAAATAAAATTCAAAAATGGCTAAGTATATTGGGCTGTCCATAGAGAAAACAAACCTGACTTGATGTTTTCTGTAATTTCCATCCTTTACTGTAAGTGCCAAATGGATTAAAGGACTAAATGAGAGAATCAGAATTTTAACACCTTTAAAATGTGCTAATGACATTAGGGTTGAGAAGATGGTCTTTAAACACGGCACAAAAAACATGTATCAAAAAGGGGGGAAATTGGGGCGCCTGAGTGGCTCAGTCGTTAAGCATCTCCTTCGGCTCAGGTCATGATCCCAGGGTCCTGGGATGGAGTCCCACACCGGGCTCCCTGCTCGGTGGGAAGCCTGCTTCTCCCTCTCCCACTCTCCCAGCTTGTATTCCCTCTCTCACTGTGTCTCTCTCTGTCAAATAAATAAGATCTTAAAAAAAAGGGAGGGGGGAATTGTTAAGTTTAAATTGACAACATTAAAAAAACAAAACAGGGGCGCCTGGGTGGCTCAGTCAGATAAGCGGCTGCCTTCGGCTCAGGTCATGTTCCCAGGGTCCTGGGATCGAGCCCCGCATTGGGCTCCCTGCTCGGCGGAGAGCCTGCTTCTCCCTCTCCCTCTGTCTGCCACTCTGCCTACTTGTGCTCTCTATCTCTGTTAAAGAAATAAATAAAAATCTTTAAAAAATAAAAATAAACAAAACAAAGCACAGTAAGTGGAGTGACAGGATACTGACAGACTGAGAGAAGACTCGTGTAGCATAATTAACAAAGATTTAGCATCCAGATTATATAAGAAACTCCTAATGAATCAATGAGAAAAAAAGAAAACATCCCTGTTAAATAGCATGAATAGGCACTTTACAGAATAGGCAAAATAATATGAGGAGCAGTTCACAGAAGAAAATGAACCATAGGAAAAAATACGAACTTTCTTAGAAGTCTGGGGAAAATGAGTCCGTTCATACCCATCAGGTTGGTAACAGCATAAAAATGTGCATATTCTAGTGCAAACTTGGAACATGGGGAAATGCACATTGTGATACTATACTTTATAATATATTATAAAATATTGTAATAGTATTATATATAGTGTAATGTATAGTATAGTATAATATATAGTATAGTGTAGTATAATATAAATAGTAATCATAGTTATAGTATAGTATATACTATATACTATAGTAGTATAATATAAAATATTGTATTATGTTTTATATTTATATTAATTGTAATTATAGTAATATATATTATATAAAATATTAAAATAGTATTATAAAGTATCATATATAAATATTTTATAGCATATTATTATTATACTTTATATATTATTCCACTTTGGAGAGCAATTAAGTGATATCACTAAAATTGAAAGTGTGTGTACCTTTGAGAAATTCTTATACTCCTGCACAAGAGACTGGCACAAAAATATTTTTTGCGTTACTATTTGTATTAACAAACTTTTGGAATTAACAGATATGACTGTCAAAATAAATTGGGGTAAATTCCTAACAAGAACCCAAGGTACCATTTAAATCGTTTCCTTGGCAGAATAGTAGTGACTGAGACTGGCTCCCAGGCCCAGGCCTCTGGGTTTGGATCCCAGCTTTGCCACTTGATGGTGTCTGACTTGGGACAAATGATGAACCTCTGGGCCATGGTTTCGCAATAGCATTCACCTCTTAGGAGTTTTGTGAAGAGGAAGTGAGTCCTAGAACAATGCATGACACACTCAGCATCAATAAAAATGAGCTATTGTTTTTAAACAGGTATCAGCATGGATAAATACATAAAACATAAGGAAGTTGTTTTTTTTTTTTTAAGGAAGATATCAAGTAGTAATACAGCATATGCCATTTGAGTCACTTTGTATCCAGAGAAACAGTGTTGTTTATGAAGATATTCAAATAAGAAGGACATACCACCTTTCAGGATAGTGTTTGTTTCTGAGGAGTAAAGGAAGGAAATGGAATTATCAGGGAGATGGCAAGAGCTTCAAATATTTCTAATGTTTTGTCTTTAAAATAAATATAATGTTAATATTTATTCAGTTAATGATCTACACATGGGTGGCAGTTAAATCTCTACTTTTCCTGTATGTTTGAAGTATTTCATAATTTGAAACTGTAAAAAAAACCTTCAAAACTGTCAGAATGAGGGCGCCTGGGCGGCTCAGTCGTTAGAGGTCTGCCTTCGTCTCAGGTCATGGTCCTGGGATCCTGGGATCGAGCCCCACATCGGGCTCTCTGCTTGGCGGGGAGTCTGCTTATCCTTCTCCCACTCCCCTTGCTTGTGTTCCCTTTCTCGCTATCTCTCTCTGTCAAATAAATAAAATCTTCAAAAAAAACCCAAAAAACTGTCAGAATGAGTTCAGAGAACTTGTTTGATTTCTTTGCATCAGCTCCTTTTCCCTTTTTTAAAATGGAACTATATTCATTGTTCATTTTGATACAACAAAATTCAAAATACTGACAAATTCAAACGGGAAAGCTTATGTAAAGTAGAAGGTGGGTACTCCAACATGCCCAGAAATAACTGCTATTTACAACTTGTTATATATCTCTTCTGATCTTTTTAGACATATGTAGATATATATAATTTTTAAAAATTGTATAGCTAGGATCACACTTCTGCGTGCTGTTTTTTTTTTCACTAGACAGTGCACTGTGGACATCTTTCCATTTTAACACGTACATAGAACTCTACCTGATAAACTCCATTCCTAGACATTAACAGAGGAGATATTATCCCGTAAGACTAATTTGGATGTGATTCTATCTGAAGGAAGGATGATGGTGTCGACAGCCTCAAGATTTTTCTTACCCTAGAACTTTGTATTTGTAGTTTGGGAATTTTAATGTAGGTTATTTTCTGCTTTTTTAAAAGACATTATTGCAAGAGCATCTCAAGCAGACGTCGTTATAATCGTGATTTGGAACAAGATGAAGCATTTATTCCAGTCGGAGAATCATTAAAAGACCTCATTGACCAGTCACAGAGTTCTGGTAGTGGATCCGGACTACCTTTATTGGTAAGATAAAATGTCATATAGACATGAGTGGTTTATTGGTACAGATTGTGTCCTTATATGTTGGTAGGCAGCGTAATTGTTATAGATTAGGGAACATTACTAGACACATTTTTTTCTTCCTTCTTATTTAGAAAGATGGCTGCAGTCATACAAGAAGAAATCAGTTAAAAGTAAGAACTGTGAGACAAAAAGAATAGAATAGGCAGTAAGATAGAGCCACAAGCAAAGAGGAAAGAAAATGTGATCATGAAGTTCTATATAAGTGCTAGAGTTAGCTCACAAGTTTTGCTTTTAACAGCCAACTTGAAGGAGTCAGGTATAAATTCCTTGCACCTAAGATTAAATTCATTAGTTGAGAGAAGTATAACTATTTCAAATTAATAAATACTAGATATCCAGACATATTTTTAATTGTTTAATTGCATTTGTTTAAAGTAAGTACATTGATCTCTAATTTTTTAATTTATTTATTTATTTTTTAAAAGATTTTATTTATTTATTTGAGAGAGAGAGAATGAGAGAGAGCAAGCACATGAGAGGGGGGAGGGTCAGAGTGAGAAGCAGACTCCCTGCTGAGCAGGGAGCCCGATGCGGGACTCGATTCAGGGACTCCAGGATCATGACCTGAGCCGAAGGCAGTCGCTTAACCAACTGAGCCACCCAGGCGCCCAATTTTTTAATTTATTGAATTAAATAATTCTGTAATTGAATTGGAAAGGTTAAAGTAAAACTGTCTTCATGTGCAGACAACATGATTATCTACAAAGAAAAATTTTAAGGATGATACCATAAAGCTATAACAACCAGCAAGTGAGTTTACCAGGGTTGTAAAATATAAGGTCACTATACAGAAATCATTGAATATAGGTACACTGGCAATGAGCAGTTAGGAATTAAAATGTTAAAAGCAGTACCATTTAAAATAGCTTCAAAAAACATCAAATATTTTAGAATAAGCTTAACAAAATCTATGTAAGACCTGGGCACTGAAAATTAGAAAACACTGCCAAGAGAAATTAACAGAGCCCTAAATAAGGGGAGATGTATATCCTGTTTTTGACTCAGTAGACGCAGTATTAAAATTTCAGTTATCCTAAGTTGACTTATAGTTCTATTCAATCCAAAATCAGAGCAAACGTTTATAGAAATTGATAAACTGATCTAACATTTATATGGAAATGCAAAAGACCTAGAAGAGCCAAAACACTTTTGAAAAAGAGCAAAGGATTCACTGCCTGCTTTCTGGACCTACCATAAAGCTACAGTTATCAGCTTAGTGTGGTCCTTAAGGATAAGAATAAATATGTGTGTCAGTGGAAGAGAATAGAGGGCATAGAAATGGACACAAATGTCACTTGATTTGGGTGCCAGAGTAATTCGGTGGGAAGAAGATGGTCTGTTCCACAAATGGTGCAGGGAAGACTGAGCATCCGTTTCCCAAAATGTGTATTTCTTTTTTTTTTTTTTAAAGATTTTATTTATTTATTTGAGAGAGAGAATGAGAGAGAGAGCACATGAGAGGGGGGAGGGTCAGAGTGAGAAGCAGACTCCCTGCCGAGCAGGGAGCCCGATGCGGGACTCGATCCAGGGACTCCAGGATCATGACCTGAGCCGAAGGCAGTCGCTTAACCAACTGAGCCACCCAGGCGCCCCTCCCAAAATGTGTATTTCGACCCTTATCTCCAAATATGAAATTACCTTGAAATGGACCATAGACCTAAATGTAAAATGTAAAATTTAAAGTCTAAAAACCTTTAAAAGAAAATGTTTTAGAAAATCATTGTTTCCTTGGGTTAAGCAAGGTTTCTTAGGACACAAAAAGCATGAATCATTTTTAAAATGATAAATTAGGCTTTTTTAAAATTTGAAACTTTTTTTTTTTTTTAAACATTTTATTTATTTATTCATTTGACAGACACAGCGAGAGAGGGAACACAAGCAGGGGGAGTGGGAGAGGGAGAAGCAGGCTTCCCGCAGAGCAGGGAGCCTGATGCGGGGCTCGATCCCAGGACCCTGGGATCATGACCTGAGCCGAAGGCAGTTGCTTAACGACTGAGCCACCCAGGCGCCCCCAAATTTGAAACTTTTCCTATTCAGAAGACACTTAGCTTAAGCAAAGGAAAAAATAAGTCACAAACTGGCAACACAGATCTGAAAGAATTTGTGTTGCGGAATATATAAAGAATGTCTACAATTCAGTAATAAGACAACCCCATTTTTTAAAATGGATAAAAGATTTGAACAGATACTTCCCAAAAGAAGAGAAAGGAATTGCAGCAGATAAGCACAAGAAAAGGCAGGGAATTGCAAGTTAAACATTAAAGTGAGATACTGTACATCCACTAGCATGACTAAGACTGAGAATATTAAGTGCGGAAAAGAGTATAGATCAGCTAGAAATCTCATACATTGCTGATTGAAATGAAAACATTTCAGGCACTTTGGGAAGTGGATTGACAGTTGACTGAAAAGGTTAAGCATATACTTTCTATACAGTGAAGCAGTTCTTCCACTGAGTATTTACCAAAGAGATCTGCAGGCATGCCCACACAAAGACCCAAATGTGAATGTTCACAGCAGCTTTATTCGTAAGACATAAATTGTCAACAACCCAAAAGTCCATCATTTGGTAAATGGATAAACAGATCGTGGTGCATTCATACAGTGGAACATTCCTCATCAATAAAAAAGGAACTACTGATACAGGCAACAACAATATAGATGAATTTGAAGTGTTTTATGCTAAGCGAAAGAAGCTAGACACAAAAGACTACATATTGTATGTTTTCACTTACGTGATATTCTAGAAAAGATAAAACTGTAGGAAAAGAAAACAGATCAATGATGCCAGGGCCTGGGGGTGGGTGGGGAGGGGATTGACTTTAAAGAGGCAAGAGGGAACTTTCTTGGGTGATGGAAACATTCTCTATCTTAATTGTGGTGGTGGTTATATGACTGTATACACTCGTCAGACAGTTCTCAAAAAGAGTGGATTTTGTTGTATGTAACTTACTACCTCAATAATCCTGTCTTCTTTAAAAATTACAAAGGATTCTGAAATAACTGATACATAAAATAAGTCAGTTTAGGTATGCACAGAATCTAATTCATTTTAACTGCATTTCCAACCTGGACCTTAGGGTTCTTTTTAATTTAGAATGGCCACTAGTGCTTCTGAAAATGAAAGGTAGCAATTAATGTGCATCTTTGAGTCAACAAAAATTAATGAAAGCACTTACTATATTTCAAGTGTTCCCCTAAACAAACCCCTATATTCTGTGAGTAGGAAGGAATAGAATTCAAACAAATCCATATATAAATAATAATAAAATTGTAATTGTGATAAGTGCAGCAGCTGAGAGGTATACGTGTGCTATGAAGGTGTTTCACAGAAACGACCCTCTTAAGTAAAGGGAACTGCACGTGCAAAAAGACTCTGAGACAAGAATATGCAGGAATGAATTCTAAAAGCTGAAGTAAGGGGAATAAGAGGTGGGTCATGAGAGCAAATGATGAGGCTGGAGAGTCAGGCAGGGGCCAGATTATGTAATGTAGAATCTTAATGACTTGAGTGGAAGATGTAACATTTTCATCATTATCGTTAAGATTATTTTAAATATATTGCAGAAATGTAGAGTTATCTGAAAATCGCAGGAAAGAATGGTACTCTTCTTGTAACTGTAAAAAAAGATTTGTAACTCTTGCTCTCTTTAGATTTTGCTGCACAATAAAGCATCCCTAAACTTAGTGGCTTGAAGTAACAAACATTTATTATCTCTCATGATTCTGTGGGTCTGCTGGGCAGTTCCTTTTCTGGACCTGCTCAGCTAGAGAGCTAGATGATATAGTTCACGGACACGGCCAGGGGCTCCCAGGGTTTTTTCACCCCTTATAGAGTTCTCCAGAACAGCAAGGAAGGGCAAGCCCCAGAGCACAAACACTTTTAAAGTCTCTACTTGCATCACATCTGCTGTTGTTCCATTGCCAAAAGCAAATCCTGTCGCCACGCCCAGAGTCTGCACAGGAGACTACCCAAGGATGTGGACTGGGACTGGGAGCAGAATTATGTTGACCATTTCTGCAAACAATCTATCACGTCAACTAACCCGTTAGTGTGCGATTTCACAATGTATATTGTACGTTGTTTCATCTTGTTTTAAATCCTTTATAAATTCCACCATTGGGGTGGGTTGGTTGTACATCCCATCCTTTTCGATGGGACAAGCTATTGGGCCACTTTCTCAGTCTTAGCCGGTTCTTTTCATCAAGAACTCCACAAACATTCTGCTTTTATCGTGAAGGTTCAGCGAACTATTGCCAAACAGATTCAGATGGTTCGGCAAGTCGGTAAAGGCCGGTACGGAGAAGTGTGGATGGGTAAATGGCGTGGTGAAAAGGTGGCAGTCAAAGTGTTTTTTACCACTGAAGAAGCTAGCTGGTTTCGAGAAACGGAAATCTATCAAACTGTGCTGATGCGCCACGAAAACATACTTGGTGGGTACACATTTGGTTTCGGCCGATTCCATATTCTGACAGGGTTAGTGGGGTGCGGTGGAAGCCTGCCACACGGGCTTTGAAAACATACGTGAATTCCATTATGTGCATATGGCTAAAGGAAACCCACGAGAATACAGTTTAATTACAAAACAATCCTGAATGCCCACCAACCACTTTATTTACTGTCCAACTAGGAAAACAATAGGGAGTTTCAAATTCGAAGTAGTGCTAGTTTATTGGACTTACTCATATAGTAACACAGCCCAAGTTTTTTAAAGGTAATTTAAGCAATTTTCTAGTGTAACTTTAACTATATGTGCCTTTTGCCTTTTATAAACTGAACCCCCCCACCTTCATTTACAAAATAGAAAAATAATTTATGTATGATCTGATTGGTAGGGTGCAGAAACTCCTCTAGCTTTCCTGACTTTTCAGCTACTATTTCCCTACCCTTTAATTTAGAGAGTGCCGCAAGTATTCCAGACACTTAACTGTTAGTTTTCTGAGGGCTGTCACAACAAATTACCACAAACTGGGTGGCTTAAAACAACAGAAATTTATTTTCCCGGAGTTGTGGAAGCCATAAGTTTAAAAGGAGCGTGTCGGCAGGGCCATGCTCTCTGAAGGCTCTAAGAGAGGCCCCTTCCTTACCTCCTCCCAGCTTCTGGTGACTGCCAGCAATTTTTGGCACTTCTTGGCTTGGAGATAGCACTCTTGCTCTCTTGTTGTCACATGGCCTTCTCCCCTGTATGTCCACATTCCCCTCTTGGAAGGATAATGGTCACTGAATCAGGGCCCACTTGAATCTAGTATTGACCTTCTCTGAACTTGGTTATATCTACAAAGACCCTATTCCAAATAAGGTCACGTATACCGGTACCAAGTGGACGTGAATTGGCATGGAGTGGGGGGTGCGCAGTATTCAACCCAGCACTCACTGACCTTCTGAAGGGAAAGGGACAAGAAAAAGAAAGAAAGGAGGCTGGTATCATGGCCCTGCTTATCAGTGAGCCAGATAGATAGGCAGGTGGGCTGAGGCTTGATGGGCAAGTGGGAGCTGGCTTAGGAGCAAACTCATGGTTGAACATTTTAACTTTATTATTTTAATGTGTCCACTTTTCAATTTGAAATTGAGAGCTTTTCTACATTCCTTCTTCTTATAGTTCTTCATGCTTAGAGAATCATGGAGATAGATAGCATTTCCCCAGGTTATTTTCTGATATATGATCTTTTTCTTAGTCATATGATTGTCATTTTCATCATTATCGTTAAGATTATTTTAAATATATTGCAGAAATGTAGAGTTATCTGAAAATCGCAGGAAAGAATGGTACACATTCAAGAGATTTTGCTAGGCAAATTAAATTTTTATTATCTGTACAAGATACCAGAGTTATTCTCAGTATCCTAAGTGAGCATTCATCATTCTTCTTACCCATTTCTGATAACTAACCCTTTAAACCCATTAATTGAACAGGTTTCATAGCGGCAGACATTAAAGGTACAGGTTCCTGGACTCAGCTCTATTTGATTACTGATTACCATGAAAACGGATCTCTCTATGATTTCCTGAAATGCGCTACACTAGACACCAGAGCCCTGCTCAAGTTGGCTTATTCAGCTGCCTGTGGTCTGTGCCATCTCCACACAGAAATCTATGGCACCCAAGGAAAGCCTGCGATTGCTCATCGAGACCTAAAGAGCAAAAACATCCTCATTAAGAGAAATGGAAGTTGCTGTATTGCTGACCTGGGCCTTGCTGTTAAATTCAATAGGTAAGCGGTTCTTTGCCTGTGTTTTGAAATCATTGTAACCTCCAAAAGATATTTGCCTATTTGGATTCAAGATAGTGGAATTCCAAACATGTATTTGGGCTTATCTGGTTATATAAATAAATAGTTGGGATTTTTATGTCTTGGTGTTTTGTTTTTCTGGGTTTTTCTGTTTTGTTTTGTTTTGTTTTTACAAAAATTACAACCTACTCTACATAGTTCCTCATCTCCTGCTTTTATTGTCTTAGACATCATTCTATTGCAATTTATGTAGATTTGCTTCATTCTTTTTAACAGTGTTGATGCAGTTTTCCATTATGTGGATGTACTATAATTTATTTCATCTATGACCCAACTGATGGGCATTCAAGTTATCTCTATTGTTTAAAAAATGCTTTAATTGTATCTTACCCATATATAATATCCTTGACTGCTTAAGTATTTGTTCGTAGTGGATTCCTAGAGAAGGGGCTAAACAGAGTATGTGCCTTTTAAAGTATAGTATAATTGCAAGCTCTTCCTTTAGGAAGCGTTCGTCAGTTTACACTCCCATAAACAGAGAAGTATGCCATTTCTCCATCACCACTTGAAATTGTCGATATTTTTTAAACAGCATTATCAGAATTTTAGGAAACCACTGAAACTGTTTTAATATTGTTACAACTCTAGGATATAGCAGCCAATTTACATTTCAGAATTCATTTTCAGGTTTATAAAATAAAAGTACTAGTCCATAATAAAGCGAATGTTAAAATTTAAATCTTCTTCCCTAGTTGTTACAGTGTTCTGATCCTTTTGTTCTTTATCATTGTGGTGTTTATTGGCTCACATACTCATCAGGTACTGTTTAAGAAAATCTAAAATACGTTATATTAATCTTGGCTTCGGAGTAGTTTCCAGAACCTGCCAGAATTGGGGGCCTAAATAGCAAAAGTATTTATGTCTTCCAACTCTAAAATTTAGTCCCAAAATTGAAAAACCAGTAAGCATCATTTATTACTGATTGTCAATATGATTATGTAAACATTACTCACAATAGAACTAAGTTGGTTGGACCCAAAAAGAAAATGTAATCCTGTGTCACAAACACTGAGTTTATCACGCGAGAACAGTAAAAGCATTGATTCCTCTCAGCTTATTTTTACATTCATTTGTTCTGGGACATAATTATCTACTGCTCTTTCTTATATTCAGTACTGTCCTTTTTCTTAGAGAGGCACTAAACTTGTTTGGTGACGAAACTTGAACTAATGTGAGGTGTTTATTGTCTTTATCCAGGATAATATGAATATTCATACTTAGCTTTTCACTGCAGACAGTAATGATTCTGATTGAGTGCCGCCCCGGACCCTGCTGGGGTTTTGTGTAATGTGTAACATGTATTTAAAGGGTAAATATTACTTTTCTAAAATCTGGGAAATGCTAAATTTTAAAATCTAATCCAGTCACAAGGAATTCTGTTAAGGGAATGTTGATGTAAGATTAGTAGGTTAGATAGATTTTTTTTTTTATTTTTTTATATATTTATGTGTTTGTGTGTGTGTGCGTGTGCGTGTGTGTGTGTGTACACATGGAGGGAAGAGTCTGGCTTACAAAATGAGATGCAAATACAAGATAAACTATTTTGTTCCTGGCCCTCAATCTGAACACTGTCTTCTGTTTCAGCGACACGAATGAAGTTGACGTACCCTTAAACACCAGGGTGGGTACCAAACGCTACATGGCTCCGGAAGTGCTGGATGAGAGCTTGAATAAAAGCCATTTCCAGCCCTACATAATGGCCGACATCTATAGCTTTGGCCTGATCATTTGGGAAATGGCTCGTCGTTGTATCACAGGAGGTAAGACTTTAGGTAGTGGGTTTCCGGTTATGTTTGTATCCTCATTATTCAAAAAAAGTAACAGCTTCATTTATATAATTTAGATGTCATATATGTCAGGGATTCCCAAGACCACTCCCAGGTTCTTTGATTTCACTACAAGGACACACAGGATTCAGCATATAGTTGTCCTCACAGCTAAGATTTATTACAGTGCAAGGATACAGATAAAATCAGCCAAGGGAAACGGTGCATGGAGCAAAGTTCAGGAAATCAGGCACAGGCTTCCAGAAGTCCTCTCCCAGTGGAGTCACACAGGATGTGCTTAGTCCTCCAGCAGTGAATTATGACAACATGTGAAATATTGTCATCTAGGAAAGTTCATTAGAGACCTAGTAGCCAAAGATATTTTTGGAGGCTGGTCACATGGGCACCCTCCACCTAGCATGTACCAGAATTCCAAACTCCTAGAAAGAGAGCAGGTGTTCAGCATAAACCATACTGTTTGTACAAATAGTCTAGGCACACAGTGAGTGACACTTATCATTTAGGGAAGGTTTTATATGAGTGTCTAGGGAATTGTTAACCCAGCAAGTTCCCAGATACCGGCCCAGCGCCAACCCTGCAAGCAGGCCTTTTCAAAGGATAGCAGTCTCCAGCCTGCTGTGTTAACTTTTTTCTGCATATCATGTTGTCTTTCTACTGCAGAACGAAATAAGACAAAACAAAAAACAAAAGCCACATTCGTTAATAAGAACAATTATGTATATAAGTAATCAAATTAAAAATCGAAGGGGCACCTGGGTGGCTCAGTCGGGTAAGTGACCGGCTCTTGGTTTCAGCTCAGGTCATGATCTCAAGGTTGGAAGATCAAGCCCCACATCTGGCTCCATGCTGAGCATGGAGCCTGCTTAAGATTCTCCCTCTCCCTCTGCCCCTCCTCGGCTTGCTTGCTCTCTCACATGCACACGCATGCGCACACGCAAAATAAATAAATAAATAAAAATTGGAGGTAAATGAGTGCTTCACCTTTTCTTAAGGGATATAGGTATGTCCACAGGTATGATGGGGACCCTGATGGAGGTAGAGGAAATATTTAGGCATAGAAAAAGAGAAGAAGACACATTTACTATTAAAAGTGAATCATTCACTCTATAATTCTCTTCTTTATGTAGGAATCCATTTTATCTCCCATAGTTCAGTAAGAGGTGCTGAGTAGGTTGATATATTTTGTCCAGCCATTTTTGTGCCCACTGTGTTTTCTCACTCCCTACAGGGATAGTAGAAGAGTACCAGTTGCCATATTACAATATGGTGCCCAATGATCCATCATACGAAGATATGCGTGAGGTTGTGTGTGTGAAGCGTTTGCGGCCAATTGTGTCCAATCGATGGAACAGTGATGAAGTAAGTGGAGCTCCATCCCCTGAGGAAGTGATTGGTAAGTGTCATCAAAGATCTTTATGTGCTCACTATATTCTCTTTACTTTTCAGTGTCTACGAGCAGTTCTGAAGCTCATGTCAGAATGCTGGGCCCACAATCCAGCCTCCAGACTTACAGCTCTGAGAATCAAGAAGACACTTGCCAAGATGGTTGAATCCCAGGATGTAAAGATTTGACAGTGAAACAGTCATGAGGAGCAATTCTAGACTGCAAGAACTGTTTTCACCCAAGGAGCGGGTGGAGTTAGAGTAGAATACGGATGCTGACTTGGTTCTCAGACTCTCTCCTCACTACACCTTCACAGGCTGCTAATACTAAACCTCTCAGTACTCTGTAGAATAACAAGCTGGGAACTTCTAAACACTTTGTTCTTTATATACGGACAGCTTTATTTTAAATGTGGTTTTTGATGCCTTTTTTTTTATTGGGTTTTTATGAACTGCATCAAGACTTCAATCCTGATTATTAATAAGTCTCCAGTCAAACTCTGGGTACTGAATTCCCTATTCATAAAATGGTGCTTTCTGTGAAAGCCTTAAGAAGATAAATGAATTCAGCAGAGATGGAGAAATACACATTTTTGCCTTCTACCTGAGGAAAATTAATCTATTTGTATTCCACCTTTGTAAACAGCCTATGGATTATGATCTGTTTGGGATACAGTAGTTTGATGGTTTGTCAGGCTTTGATATTGGTATGTGTGTGTACACACCCACGCACACACCAGGATTCCTCTGTTGCCATTTGAATTAGAAGAAAATGATTTATGAATGCACAGGAAGATGCTGGTGGCTGTTGGTTTTGTGCTTTAAAAATGCATTATCTGACCAAGATTCTCCAGTCACATAAAAACCATTTATTTACCTTACAAGTGATAGCTTCTCTGCCAACTTTATTTTTTAACATAAAAGTTGATATAAAGGCCAAAAGAAGTTTAAAGTTTCTGTTAATTTGGACTATTTTCCTTTCATCACCATCTTTCTCTTCTTTACTCCCTCCCCTTCCTCTCCCCTCCCCCCCTTCCCCCTTCCTTCTCTTTCTTTCTTTTCGGTAATTCTTACTTTTGTCATGAAAAGCATCCTATCCAAAGTTGGAACTTCCAATGCCATGAACCTTCTAAAGAGAACACTTCTTATTGAAGTGAATTACTAATTACTGCATTTGATAGCAATGTAAGTGCCTATAATCATGTTCTATATTCTTTATTCTCAGTAACTTTTAAAAGGGAAGTTATTTATATTTTGTGTGTAATATGCTTTATTTGCAAAACACCTCCTTTACAACCATATTTTATATATGTACATACATTCATACTGTAGAAACCAGCTCTCATGTGTACCTCATATCCCATTCTTAAGGGAAGAAAATTAAAAGATCATCAGAAAAAAATGTTATAATGTAGAACTACTTGTAAATTGTCAGAATTAATGCATTCAAAGTAGTATATCAAATCTAGGACTTTGTTATTCAGGCATATACTTTCATTAAGATGCTGTCATCTCAATTTTTCTTTATCAAAGGATCCTCCAATTAGAAGTTTCTGTTTCAGAGCTGATATAAACTTATCAACAGCTGTTTGGGGCATTTAAATCACTTGAGATTTTTGGTTTTATGATTTCTGTTCTATAACTTGTGAAGACAATGAAGAGTCAGGCAAAAAAGTTCAGTATCTACTCATTACCTGTATCTATACCATATAGCTGTTATTCAATAAAATGCTACATATTTTATGGATGCCTTGTTATCCCAAGGAATAATTCTGATTTACTTAAACTTATACTTCTCCAATGCCTTTTAAATATTGTCTTATCCTGAGTAAACAACTCATGGGTGCATAAAGTGAAATAGTTTTCTTTGAATGTAACATAAAATAAATGTGATTACATCACAACATAGTTAGAAGTCTTTAAAGGGGAGGAATCCAGAGCATGTATCCATCCATTACCAAAAATCTGACTGGCATTTAAGGATGAAACTCTTACATATTTATATATCAAACTTAACAAATTTGAAATCTGCTTTAATAGTTTTGACTAAGTTTAGTAATTTTCATCTAACATAATTAAAATTTGAAGTGTTCACGAAAATGAGTAAATGTGCATATTGATAGTACCCAATAACATGTTCTTTCAGAATGTCCTCCCCTATACTGAGAGAGATTGTAATCCATGTTGCCTTGTGACTTAAGAACACTTCTCAGCTCTGATTTTAATCTAAGGTTAATCTTGCTTTATTTTTTATTGGTTAAACTGTAAATCCTGAACATTATTTGTCGTCTTACTAACAAAGAACGTATGTAAAGAAAGGCAAACTTATTCTTAGAATGTTGAAATAGTGGGTGGAAGCAGACAATTACAGATAGTATATAAGTACGAGACCACTATATTGATTTTTTTAAATAGATCTATTAAGAGTCGTATCAAGGATTAACTTTAGCAACTTGTTGAATAAAAATATTTTCTAAGGTAGCGTGTTCTTTAAAAAGCAAATGATGCCATTTTGAAATCCCAAAGTCCAAAAAATATGCATGAAACTTATTTTCTTCTCCTTACTCTCACTGTTAAATTTCTAAGTTCATCCAGTAAGTGAAATATTTAAGACTGAGGAAGTATTACATAGTACCTTATAGTTATTAATTTGTAAAACCCTAGAAGCCATTATTTGGCCCCACTTAAAATTTAAAAATTTAAAATTTTAAAAATTTAAAATTTAAACATTTTAAAAATGTGTGGCTTCTGTCTGTCATCCTTTTAAATAAGTAAAACATAAAAACAAGCAAAAACCCAAAGCTACCTGAATACAACAGAAGTTAGCCCTCGAAGAAAATTCCTTTTATTGAATTCCCTTTATACTGGTAAATACCTCCAGAATTAAAGGCACACCAGGATCCGCCTCAGTGCATTCATTCTGAGCTTTCCCTGTGCTTTCTTTTGAACAAGTTTCTGAAGTACAAAATTTGAATCTAATTTCTCTGGAAATGTTTTCACAAAAGATCTTTCAGTCAACATTTTATGTTGCATTTCCGATGTCTGGAAGTGTCCCTAAACTTAGAAAGTGGCCTATAGTTTTTGAAAATTATGTTTTTCTAGAATGGGCCGGATTTTTTATTTATTCACTCTAAAATACTCAGTACCTTTTTCTTTCATATGCTTTTCTTCTGTTTAGAAAAAAAATATAACGCAACTTTTAAAGAATCCTGTTATCTCTTAAACTGGCCCAAGATCAAATTTGATAATGAATAATTTATTCCAGGCAGGATTTTATAAATTAAATCACTTGTGTTTCTTTGCATACACATTGTTTGGAAATGTTGCAAATATCTAATCTCAATGAAATACTAATTGATTTTTTAAAAAAGATTATTGTAGCTCTTACACTGTTTAAAGGGTAGTATTTATTATTTGCTTCGGTCAGGTGTTAAAATAGGGTAGCAGTTCATTCTCTTGCCTTAATGCTATTATGAGAGTCACAGTGAAAACTGCAGAGAACTGACATGTTCATAAAAACTGAATTAAATCTCGGGCAGCAGCATACAAAGCCACATGTAATGGTCATCCCATAAGGAAAGTATGTGAATACTGCTTTTGCAAAGGATTAAATATATTATTGTAATTTTAGCTCGTGCTCTGTACTATGCTTTCAGTGGAATTATTTAAGCCCTTTTAGTGACCATTGTCCTTACCCATTTAAAAACTAAAATGTAGTATATGTTGTATAAAATGAAAATATCATTATATAAGCTTAATTAGGGAAGTTGTACATAGACATTGAAAGAAGGGTTAAAAACAATTTTATTATGCAATTGTAAAACACCAAAAATATAGATTCATCTTTGATATGTAACACACTAAATGTATTTTGTACAGCATCTGGTTTAAAAGGTGCCTTATTAAGTTTACCATTAATTGCTTTGTTCTATATATAGATTACATCCAATGTATCATTTTTAAGTAAATAACCTTATTTTAGTATACTTTAGTGATGTGTTTTGTGATACTCGGACTGTATTGTGTATTAGAAGTCACATGTCTGGTGAGATTTTATGACAGATAAGTTAGTATACATACATGCATCCCTGAGACGTGCATCTCAGATGCCAGAAATCGAGTATGGAACACAAGGCAGGTAAGTGACCACACACTTTCCTTTGTGTACACAGAGCAGTTGAAAACCTATTACAGTGAAGGGTTATTGCCCTTTAAAAAAAAATTCTTTTTTTAAAGATTTTATTTATTTGACAGAGAGAGACACAGCAAGAGAGGGAACACAAGCAGGGGGAGTGGGAGAGGGAGAAGCAGGCCTCCCGCGGAGCAGGGAGCCCGATGCAGGGCCCGATCCCAGGACCCTGGGATCATGACCTGAGCCGAAGGCAGACGCTTAATGGCTGAGCCCCACCCAGGCGCCCCTAAAAAAAAAAAAAATCTGAATCTAAAAATATGTACTCCTTGCAGAAATTTTGGAAAACACAGGAAAGAATAAAGAAGCAAATAAAATCACAATTCTTTTGCCACATGTACCCCTATTTACATTTGAATGTTGCTTTTCAATCTTTTTTTTTCTGCTGCATATTTTTTTTTTACAAAATTTGAGGTCATAGTATGTCATTAATATCCATTGAGAATGTAACTTTAAAAAATTAACTACATAATATCCTACCAAGTAGATGGAATAATTTATTTTTGTAATTCCCTATTGAATATTTGGGTTATTTCCATTGTTTTAAAAAATATAATGAACGTAGTGAACATCCTTGTACATAAATCTTTTAAATCATAAATTTATTGTCTTAGATTACATTCCTGAAAGTGGGACTAGTGGATAGGAACTTTTAAAAGATTATTTAAGATGGAAAACAGCCTAAGGTTCTTGCTAAGTGTGGCCCGTATTACTGCCCAGAGGGTTTCTCGTGCACACTCCTACCCGTGTCAAGAGTGTTCATCTCACGACTTGGACAGGTCATTGCTTCCAACTGCCTTCTCTCTCTGCTGGCATAGCGCCTGGTTTCTGTTACTTACAGTCATGGAATCCATTTATCCAGCTCTACTGTGCTCCTGCTGCAGCAAATGCTTTGTGAAGAGCTGAAACTTCAGGGCGGAAGGTAGCTTGCCCTCTGTTCTGCAACAGTATCCCCTCCCCTCCTGCACTCCCACCACCTATCAGAGCTGTTTCTGGATGTGTGTCGATTCATTCAGTCAGCGAACCTTGGTATGCCTGAGGCAGCTGGACATACTAAATCGTCACGAAAGATTTGGGACTAGTTGATGTCTCCCCCCCAAAATGCATGTTTAGGAATAGCTTGTTAGAGATTCTTCACAGGAACCCCCGTTTAGTGACCCGTAAGATGGTTTCTTGAAACGAGCATGCACTCTCATGCAGCTTGGTAAAGAATCAGGGATTTCCTGGGCCTGTCAAATACTTGCTAGCTTTCCTTCTGTCTGTAAAAGGTTGACCCCAAACCTGGATCAACATATTCATTTTTCCTTCCCAGCATAATCTGTTACTCTCACTGAGTGGTTGTAATAGTGACAATTTCCAAGGTTTCTTTCATAGGAGTAGTTGTACTAGTACAGAAGACATTAAGAAATGAGGACACTGTTCTTCCAGAATAATCTGATCCTTGTAGGGAATTTCAGGCAGATGCTAATTTAGTCATTAAGTCTTCATTCACTTGGAGAACTCTCTCCCTGCTGCTAGCGCACAGACCTTTTCTGGCACTAAAGTTAGATGCATGTTCCTAGAAAGCCTTGCTTCAACCCTCAGGGCAGTACCCGACGAAGTGGACACGGCGCACTGAAGGTGTCCAGTCGGTCGTGTTCGGAGAGGCCACTTAATGGCAGCGGCCCTCTACGGGTCATGGGGAGTTAAATACTGCGAGCTCAGGGCAAGAGCAGAAACAGGCAAGTCACCCGAACGAAAGCTGGAAATCAGAAGGAGGAGACTTAGTTCAGGCACAAAGGCACACACGCAAAATATGTCCGCTAGAAGCAGAGGCTAGGGCTGAAAGGTTCATCCGTGATTGCCCTTGGAGGTGGAGATTGTGATTCTCGTTTTTGGGTGGAATACATGTGGCCGACCTGTTACTCCTCTGAACTGTATCTTCTTGGCCTTTGTCTCATCACTTTTACTCTGAAGTGTCCCATGTATGCTCAGAACGAAGTTCAAGGTGATTCTAGATGCTGCTTCCTCCCTCCACCCCACTTCCCATATCGCAAATTTTATACAGGGAACCGGAAATGTTACCATTATTTGAAAGTCAAAAGTCGGTATAAAATGCTTATGTTGGAAATATTTTCAGGCTAGAGGAAGAAAGGACTAGGGCCTTTGTTGTTGAGAGGGAAGCCATCTGTAAAGCAAAGTTAAAATCTGGCTGATGACAGGGTGATGAAGTGCACCTGCCGTTCTGTTCTCTGTCGCTCTGCTGCAGGACTCAAATCCAAGAAGACGTTGAAAGACATTAAAAAGGAAGAATTGAAAGGCTGTGGCACAAATAATACTGCAATGGAAGGCATTTCAATCAAACACCTAAAAATAAAACTTACAATTTGATTCTGTCTTCATTCTTGGCTAGACTGGCTGGAGATCGAATCTAACGGAAGATATTTCCAGCATCCCTGTTGCCAGTAAGAAGTCTGATGTGTGTCTAATTCAGTCCTTCATCATTTAACTTACTTTTTCATTCAAGAAACAATTTTCAGAGTGCCTGGGTGGCACAGTCGGTTGCACATCTGACTCTTGGCTTCAGCTCAGGTTGTGAGATCGAGTCCCATGTCGGCCTCAGTGCTCGGCAGTCTGCTTCAGACTCGCCCCCTCTGCCCCTCCGCCCTCCCCACTTGTGCATGCTCCTGCAAGGGCTCTCTCTCTCTCTCTCTCTCAAATCTTAAAAAACAAAACGGAATTTTCTTTTTCTTTTTGATGTTTTGAAGTTTAAGCTTGCCATGTCTAGATGTATTCTTTGTGTTAGTACTGACTGGGTACTTTTAACCTTTCCTTGGACCTGGGAGCTTCCACTATTTATTTCCTCCCTTCCCTTCTTGTACTCTACTCTTTCTAGAACTCCTATTAGACGAATATTAGGTCCCCTGGGTGTTTCTTCCATATTTCTTAACATGTCTGTTATGATCCATCTTACCTTCTGCTTTCCAGCCCATTTACTAAGTTTATTTCAACCAAATTTTTTTTTTATTTGGAAATAATTTCAAAATTCCAGGAAAGTTGTGAAAAGTACAGAGAATGCCATTTACACTTCACCCAGATTCATCAACGATTACATTTTGCCACAACTGCCTTGTTAGTCTGTGTGTGTGTGTGTGGTGTTGGAATGTTTGAGCACACACATAACCTCTTCTGAACTACTTGGATTACAGAGCTGTGCCTCTTTAAGTATTTCAAGGATATTCCATTACAAAACCAGTTACATACGATTTTCAAAATCAGGAAAGTTGACATTGATACCATAACACTTATCAGCAACACGATACTCTGCAGGCCTTTCCCAGTTCTAATAAAGTCCTTGAGAGCATATTTCCCGGGTCCAGAGTCTGTCCGGGATCTTGCATTGCATTTAGTTGTCATGTCTCATTCTTTAATCTGAAACAGTTCTCCAGTTTCTGTTTTTTTGTGATACATTTTCTAGAGTAAAAGGCCAGAGTTTCTGTGGACATATTTGTGTCCTTCTCAGGGCATCCCATTGGGAGGCCATGGCGTGTGTCCCATTATTAATGATGTCACTGTCAACCCCTTGTTCAAGGTGAAACCTAGTTTCTTTACCGTAAAGTGGTGATTTTCCCTTTGTAATTACTATGTTATGGAGATAATTTGAGACTGTGTTCTAGCCATTGGTAATTCTAATGTGAATCAGTGCTTATAAAGTAGTGATTTTCTACTTGCATTATTACATCTACATTCATTAATTGGCATTCTGTAAGGGAGAGGTCTGTCTTCTCCTGTTTATTTTTTTACTATCACTAGGAACTCCTGGATTCTTATTCTATGCAATGAGTTAGAGTCTATTAGGTCATTATTTGTTTTGATGCTCAAATTGATCCAGACTTGGCTACTAGAAGCTCATCAAGTTGGCTCTTGAGTCCTTTTTCCACGTGCTCATCTTTTCTTGAGCACTTCTTACTTTTTGGCACTTAAAAGATGTTCCAAGGGCATCTGGTAGTTTCCCTGCCCCAGCCATGGAGTCAGCCATTTCTCCAAGGCTCTCTGATTCCCTCAGGAAGGATGGTATTTAGAGACCAGGACCTGAGTGGCAAATAAGATTTCCAGTTTCCTGTATTGTTTCTAGAGACGTGTATGTTCCAAAATCTTCAGTTTTTTGAGTTTTGGATCCTCTTCTTCATGACACTAGTTTTCCACAAATGTTTGGCACTTTGGCATAGTTGCTCACCTTTGTATTTGGTGTGAACCCCTGCTCCCCTCAGTTCTGTGTTTCTCGGCTTCCTGTTTTTATCAAGAAGTGATGGGGCAACAGCGGTTTCTTAGAGCAACAATTAAGAAGTGCTCCTTTCTTCTTGCCTAGGATTCAGGCTTTTCCCACTCTGCGTATTTACCTCCCCCCACCCCCACCTCAGCGAGTTTTGTCATTGTTAGGCCAGGTTTGGGGGAGCTTTCCTGACAGAGGAGGATGGAGCAATCCCGCTCAGGCTAGAGCTGGACTGGAGTTGTGGATGTTTTCGAGACAAATGTCCTGGGATACCAGCAGAGTGGCAGAGCATGAGAGGAAAGGAGAGCTTTCAGAAACATTGTTTACAGACCATACATATCCTCTCCACAGTGTTTCTAAACTACAAGTTGTTTCTGAAATAAAAGCAGAGGTCAGGTGTTACTTTGGCATTGTGCTGTGTGTGGGGACACACCTCGGGATTGACTGCCGCGGGCCCAGACTTCGGTTAGGTTGTGCATGTCGTCTGGGAGCTTCCTGCCTCCAGAGAGTCCGTGGCCGCCTGCAGCTGGGGGCCCAGGATGGACCCGCGCTGCCGGACTCCAGGCAGAGGCCACCGCTGCTAGCCGCTTAGCAGGGGCAAGCGACAGCCGGGACCCGCTGGGGCTGCCCCTCGGCTGCTCCTCCTCCACTCACTCCCCCCAAGCGTGTTAGGGGCTGAGTTTGAGTTTGGGGTTCCCCTGAAATCGCTCCCATCTCCAACAGTCTCAAATGTTTTGGGTTATGGTTTCCTGTTGCTATTTCATTTTATAGTCAATCCTTCTACTTCCCTTTTTGCAGAAATTATGAAAATTTTCTGATCGGCTTATGGCACCCTTTCCTGTTTTTCAGTATTATTTTTGAATCTGTTTCTCCATCAGATCTGGGGAGGTATGATACCACTCTGTGCTCAGTCCATTGCCTTGTTCTGGATGCCACGAGTGAAGGGTGTCCTAACATTGGCCTGGGTAACCGGGGGTCTATTTAGGGAGCACTGGCAAAGAGTCTGCACCCAGAGATATTAGATGCCTTAGTGGAGATAAGAAACCTGTCAAGTGAACTTTAGAATTCTTGTTAATCTGGTGTCCTCATCATAGAAGTGTTTAAACAGGAAATTTGCACTTAAACTGGGTATTAAGGTTTTGTGAAATTGGTTTTGTTGAATGGAAAGCATCCTATTTAAAAGAACCATTGTTTCTCTAGTTCTCATCCCAGAAACTTCTGGAGGGACTCGTCCACGCTGCTGGCCGAGTTTACCAGTTAGCGCTTGCATTCATAACCCCGTTAAGAGCAGTGGCCACGTGAGCAGCGGGGGGCAGGTGCCCCTTATGGAGATCAGTTCACTCCGCTTATTATGTGCAAGCCATTCCAAGCGAAAATCTTAGATGGTAAGACCGCACCACCCTCAGATCTCCACTTAGTCATCAGTACAGCTTGCCCAGTAAGAGCGAGATGGAGCAGAAGGAAGACACGGCAAGGGCTTTCTAGCGGCCAGGGCGACGGGCTACCGGCTCTCCAAATTTGGGCGAGAACGGCCCCAGTACATCATGCCTTGGGTTGCCATTAGTCTCGGCAGCTGAGAGCTGCACCGGGCAAGAGGCTCTGGCCGGAGGGAAGGGCAGGAAGGCCAGAGTCAACCCTGTGGTCAAGGTAATAAAACACCAAGATACTTAATGAAAGCTATTCGACCGACTGCCTCATACCACCGATGGAAACGGTTCAAGAGGTGGTGATTTACCGTCCGCACCAGAGTGGCCTGGCATACTCTTCCTTTTAACGCTGATGTTTTAGCATATCGAGCACACAAAGCTTAGTGGGAAATAAGTTCTGGGGGACAACCGTTTGATTTAATGACCCTTAGGAAACAAGGAGAAGGGCTGAGACCCTTGTGAGCCCTGACAACCAACTCCTGTCCTTGTTCACTGCCCCGTCCCATCCAGTTTTGTTATGGAGAAGAGTATGTTCCCCACACATGGGGTACCTGACTACCACAACACGAACACGTCCTGACAACCAGAGGGCTGCTCTCGCAAGCCCGTTTGCTGCAGGGACCGTAATGTTCTGAAAACCCTACACGGATACTGCGGGAAGAGCTGCAACTCCGAAGTGTAACTGTCTAAGCCAGTACTCTCCCCGCAGCCTGCTGGGGGGGCTCTGAACGTGTCACGCAGAACTTACTGGAACTGTGATGGCAAATACAGCCTGGAATCATGAGAGTCACATTTATCCCAAACCGTTTCATTTTGTCCCATATTTCTACCTCCTTTACCGAATCCTTTCGCTCTCCATAAAGAAACCAGGCCGAGATTTGAAGGGCATTGCTTTATTCCAGAGCTGATCACTACCGAAGGAGATTTTGACAATCGTCCTTCCCTACCTCCCTCAGCCTCCTTCCTGGTTAGAGATGCTCATGAGAATGAGGATGGTCATCAGCGAGTGGAGGAAGTAAAAAGGGTGAAGGCTGTACACATTTTAGTTCATGTTTTGACATGTCTTGGCCTTTACCATGTGGAGGCAAGGAGAAAAAGAAGTGGAATTAAGGTTACAGATAAATTCGAGGAAGGACCGAAACTGAGGGAAAGGGAATTTTGTCTCCTTTGGTTAACTCAACGAGGCCTTTGTCCCCATTTCTAATAGAAGCCAAACAGGTCGGTTTTCCCCTACTGCCCTGTAGTGGGTGGAGACTGGTTTCCAACATTGTCCAAGATGTCGCCTCCATTTTAAACATAGTCCTTCTGGGGAGGAATGATTTTCTAGCATAAGATTAGGGAGAAGAAGTGGGAGAAAGTTCTAAAGTTTCCAACCACAGGAGGAGCAATACACCAAAGAAGCTGCAGGACCCAGGGTGTGGCAAAGAGCTGAAGCCCACGATGCCATCCTGCCTCAGACGGCACGCCAAGCTAAGGTTCACACTTCCCCGGGCCAGGTTCGGCCCAGACAGAAGCCTTCCAGTTCTTCTCGTCATTAAGAAACAGGCAAACCCAGTGCATCTAGAGGAAGGCCCCAAATACCGCATCGTCTTTGCAGAAGTTTTCCAGGAAGAACTAGACCAACTGGATGGTCTCCAGACCAACCCTGGCCAGAGCTCCAGGCCAAGGAGAGCTGGGTGAGTCCACGACGTCTGGTCAGGGCTGTGCCCGGCGTTCAGGTCTTGAACATCAGGAATCCCCCGAATGCAGTGCCTGGTGGGTTTCTCTTGATGACTGATCCCTGGGTTAACTCAAACCACACCCTCTCACCTTTCTGCAGCTCGACCATAGCGAAGGTCGTGGCCGTGCTTCTACCCCTCCCCTCCTCGGTGGAACTGACAGGGGTCTGATGGTGACCTCCAAACACCAGCTGCCCGGCGCCTGACCCCGGGCCAAATTCAACGCTCACCGCAAACAGATAGACGCCACGCTCAGGGGCTCGGAAGTAGCCATGGTCAGGGAAGTAGCTGCTGCCGATGTTGATGTAAGTGGCGTTGAACTTGACTGTCTGCAGCACAGCCGTGCCTTCTGAAAAGCCGGCATAGAAGGCCACAGGGGAGCCTGGAATGCAGGAGGAAAGTGCTCAGTGACTATCTCTCACTCCCCCCGGTGGGAAACCAAACCCTGAGACCTGCCCTTCTCACCTTATTAACAGTAGGAATAGCTATTTCTAGATAACCCAGGTGTTCCCAATAGCGGCCTCAGAGGGTGGGAGCCAACTGGCCAACACTCACTGGGTCACTAATTGAGAGGAAAATACAAGTCGGTTGTCTCTACAAGTGTACATTTTTAAAAAGCACTTTTTCATTTGTTCCCCTTTCCTTCCAACATCCTGAGAGGTAAGTACCGCCCCCCTGAGGAAACCTTGAGTCCTGAGTGCTTAACTGGTTGTCCAAAGCTGCGTGGCTTGCCCAGGGCAAGATGGGGCAGGCACCCGGGTCTCTGACTTCCACACGACTGCCACCTCCTGGGATCTTGAGATGCCCAAGGGCAAGAGAGAAAATACTACCTATCCTCCAGGTGGTAATGCTAACACTGGTGAGGGAAAGAACACTGCAGCATCCTTCCTACTGGATGTCTGGCACGGGACCTTGGAGAGAGAAGAGCAGGTGGGACCAGACAAGAAAATTCTTCAAGCGGGTCATCTTAATGTTTTCAAACTGTTGCACAGAGCCCTAGGGTTACTGATGGGGAAACAGGCCCAGAAAGGGAAAGCCGGCTCCAGAAGACACAGATAGCAAATTACCACACTGGGAGCTGTCCTTGGATCTCCTGATTTCCAGTGCTCTTCCCACGTAAAAAAGCATTTTAGCCAGCCATATGGGAGGACAAGCGAGATGAAGAGAACACAGATGGCAGGCCCGCCAGGCCCACATGCAGGCGTGGAGCCAGAGGGAGCCTCTCCGTGTAGAGGGTGAGTGTACAGTGAGGAAGGAGCCAACCCAGCTACCTGGCCGTGACTCTCAGGCGGGGTGGGGGACAGAGCCAGGAAATGGGAAGGGTGAGTCCCAGGGGGTTCTGGCCATGACACTGGCCTTGGCACTGATGAAGTCATGTTCCCCATGTGCTCCCTCAACTCTCTGTGTGTCTCTCTGTATCTCTCTCTCTGCGTCTCTTGGTTGAGACCAAACTCCCCGTTTCTTAGGGGATAAAACCAAGCAAGGCCTAAAGGAGGGGCAATTTGCATCGTGGTTGGTGCCTTAATCCCACCTACAGCCCCACCTCTTTGGCTCCCGGTCCAGCAATAGTCTTGTGAATATCAAAATTTTGCTCTTCTTTGGTTCTGGAAGATTTTCTGAGAATTGGAGAGTTCAGAATAACTTTCCCATTTGTAGTAAGATTGTGTCCCGTCAAAGGCCCGCAGCTGGCTCTGCAGTTCCCCCAGCAGCCAGGAGGTGGGGCGCTCGCCCAGCCCAAGGGATGCCTGCCCAGCGCGCCCTCTGCCGGTACTTGGCTCTCTCTCCACCCGTTGCAGCCAGCCTGCCGGCCGCTCAGTCCCGCCTTCCAGGCCGACCCTACTGGCCCCTGGGTCCAACCTGCCCCTCAGAAGGCTCAAGGGTTGTGCTTCTCTGATTTGCTAGCAGGTAAACTGAGAGTGGCCTTCCCTGCAGGGCACAGATTCAAGACCTGTGGTCTTTCTACAAGACAAATAAGCGGGAATTTTTATTTTTAAGGAAAAACATTTTTTGAAATAAACTACTGCAGTGGTAAACTCAGACACCCTCAGGCAATTGAGGCCTTGCACCACTCGCAGGAGGAAAAAAGCTGGAAGAATTAGTGCAGAGCCTTGGCCCTGAAAATGCTGGGGAAACGGGGAGACGTTGACCGGTTTCTACTAAATGTTAGACCTTAGGTCAGGTATTCGGTAAATGTATCTGCTAGTCTTCATAACAAGTCTTCGATGTAGGTAGCGATTCTCCCATTTTACAGAGGGAGAAACTGAGACGAGTAAGTGGTGCTAGAGACCGTGCTCTGTCCACCGCCCCCAGGCCCCCAGGCCTCCAGGGCCAGGATGGAGAGTCGGCAGGAGCAGGGAGAGCTTGGGATGGGATCCTCAGCCAGGCCTCAGACTTCCCACATGCCAGGCTACACCGGGCTATAGACAAGCCCGGATGGCGGCCTTGTACCCGGTCCTGCGTCTGGATGAGGAGGTGGCCATAGCCCCGAGGCGGTCCTCTCCGGCAGGGGAGAATCACCCGGGGCACGGAGTCTAGGGGTCGCTTTCCCAGGGCCACGCTCAGGGAGGGGCGGGGAAGGCTCAGAGCTGGCTGCCCAGGGCCCAGGGCAAGAGCCAGCACCCTAGAGACAGCTTGGACAGGGTTCAGGGCTCTCTGTGACACTTACTGGCTGTGTGAACGGGACACTTCCCCTGACTGAGCTGCAGGGAGGACAGCAGTGACGACGTGCCGCTGGGGTTTATGATGACTCAACACGGCGAAGGCCGAGAAAGGCGACCCGGCGCGGAGCAGCGAGACGGACCAACTATGTCAGCACAGCAAGCTCCCTTCAGGGCCCACGGCCTTCCCCTGGATTCCCCGCGCGTGGGTACTGCCCATGGCAGGCCACACCAGGCCCCGTTCACATATTTGTACACAGGGGAGCTGATTCAACATGCACGGGGTGAAGTCGGGAGGACAGGAAGAGCTGCGATGGGGGGACTGGAGGCTGGGGCTGGCAGGAAAGGGAGGCTCTCCCCGCCCACTCTACAGGCGGGGTGGCAGTGGCCAGCCGTGTGTCTAGGAGCCTCAAGCATCCCATGGCCGGCCTGTGCCCGCTCACTGACAGTTGGCTCTTGTGACTTCTACCTGCTTATACTTCAGGTACCATAAGAGGCCCCTGGCCCTGAATGAAAGCGGGATCAGGGCAAAGCCGGCCCTGCATGGTCCTGACCCTTGGTCTCCCCGTTCTCTTCCACCTCGCCTTCTTGGAGGCCGAAAAGCTGCCCGCAGACAGCCCTGCCCCCCCAGGCCCACCCAGCCTCCCGCGGCTCGGGAACTCACCTGCCTCCCAGAGCACCCGCCTTCGGACAGGCTCACCCGTCCAAGTCTCCGCTTGCTTCCGGTCCCTCCTCCGGGGAGCTTCCGGACCCTTCTGCCTCTTCCCTTTCCTGCTCAGCATGGTCTGCAGCTTCCCCAGGTCCAGGCTGACGTTGGCAGCCACAAGCCCTTGGAAGTTTCCGAAGAGGCTGTGGAAGAGGCGCTGGTGGTGTTCCAAGTCGCGCTCGGTGGCGGCCAGCGCCTCGTGGAGGCCCTCGAGGGAGCGGTTGCGGGGGGAGGCCCCCGAAGCCTCGCAGCACAGGCCCACCCGCCGGAGGTCGGCGTCCAGGCGCTCCAGCTCCTGCGCCAGCCCCGCCGGGGTGGGCCCGCCGGCCTCGGCCGCCCGCTCCAGGGCCGCCACCCGCGCGGCCAGCGCGGCCCAGGCGAGCGCCTGCTCCCGCAGCCCGCTGGCGGCGTCCCGCAGGCCGGCGCGGATCTGCTCGTAGCGCAGGGGCAGCGGGCCGGGCGCCTCCTCCGCCATCTGCTCCATCACCTCCTCGCCGAACAGGGCGGCCAGCACGGCCTCGTGCCGCAGCGCGTCGTCCAGCAGGGCCGTGAAGTAGCTGTGCAGCTGGCCCACCTCGGCCCGCATCTCCCCGTGCGCCGCCCGCAGCGCGCTCGCCTCGCCGTCCAGCGCCCGCAGCTGGCTCCGCAGCCGCGCCGCGTCGGCCCGCGCCCGCTCGCCCTCCGCCCGCTGCGCGTCCACCGCCCGCGACAGCGCCGCCACCGTGCCGCTCAGGGCCTGCAGGGACGAGCCGTCGCGCTGGTGCCGCTCGTCCAGGCTCACCTGCGCCTCCTCCAGGGCGCGCGTGGTGTCCCTCTGGCCCTCGCGGATGACGTCCAGGTCGAAGTAGAGCTTCTGGCAGTTGCAGTCCTTGACGTACTTGATGAGGTCGGCGTGGCCGCCCTGCAGGTGCTGGAGGGTGAGGTTGAGCTCCAGGAGCTGCCGCTCCATCTCCTCCTTGTTCTCCTCCATGATCAGCGACTTCTCCATCAGGATGATGCGCAGCTCGCGCAGCGCCGTGTGGTTCACCTGCAGCTCCTCCAGCTGCCGCTCCACCTTGCTGATCTGATCGAAGGTCTCATCGGACTCCGAATACAGCTCCTTGATCTCATCCACGTGCTGCGCCAGGGTGGCCCTCATGTCCGCCAGGGTGCTCTGTAACTCCTCTTCCCTGCGGCCCGCGGCCGCGTGCAGCGCCGACAGGTTCCTCTGCAGCTGGCCCAGCCTGGCCTGCAGGCTCTCCGGCTCTGGCCTGGCCCCTGCCCCTGCCCCTGCCGCGGCCGGGACCAGGCTGCCGTTGGCCCCCACCGGCTCCTGGGCCTTAAGGAACCTCTTCAACTTGGCGTCCACGTCCGCCTCGACCTGGGAGAGCGACTGCTGCAGGGAGAGGTGCTGGGCGTGCATGCGTTCCTCCACATCCTGCCGCAACTGCCCCACTCTCAGGGCGTTCTCCTGGACCTTGCTCTCAAATTTGGCCCCAAGCTCCTGGAAGTCAGCCCTGGCCACCGAGCTCTCCTGGACCCCCCTGATGGCCTGTTGGTTGGCCTCCACATCAAGAGACAGGTTTCTTATGGCTTGGGAGAGGCTGTGCAGACTTTGGTTGAGGCTCCTCCACATGGGGCTGAAATGCACCTGTAGGAAGGCGTCCACGTGGGGCAGTAGCACTTGCTCCAAGGATCTGCCAGGCGCCTCTGCAACAGAGACACGCTTTTACACAGCCCTGCAGGAGCAGACACCCCTCCCCGGGCAAGGACTGGGCGGGGGTGGGGGGTCCTCTGAGATTTGGGCCTTCCTCTTGTCCCCTCGGGTATGAGCAGGCTCTGCCTCAGCCCCTGGAGCCTGCTACTCACCAGGCTCTGTCTGATTTGCCTCGATCGTGGCAGCTGTGAGATTGCTTGCCAGGGCCTTCCACTGGCCCGGGAGGCTGTCTGCCACCTGGTGAACGTCATTCTGGAGATCTCCCAGCAAGTGTTCCTGCCGCTCCATGATGTTGCTGGGCTCAGCCGCCGGGTGGCCTGAAGACACATGAGAGAGAAGCGTGGAGGTCTAACTCCCCAGGCCTGGGCAGATCAGGAGGTACAGAGAAGGAAATTTCCAGGTTCAGATGGAAATATCAGGGAGGTGTGTGCTGATGTCCTCCGAGCAGGAGCGTAGCAGCCTTTAGCTCCAGAAGAGGAAATGCATGCCCACGAGCCCTACCCCCCATCCCAGCACCCATAGCAGACATGACTAATCAATCACGGCACACTTTCCTCCTCAGCTGTGTGGACATGGCCTCTCAACATCATTTGAGGCAGCCCTTGTCAGAAGATAAGGAGTTCACCACATGATGAAACTCATTCGCCATCCCGGACGTGGCCCAGCCTTGAAAGGCCGCACAAATGGTGCCTCTTGGTGGTTCTGTGCTGACTCTAGACCAAGGATAGTATGACTTCCCGGCCCCAGTAGGACACATGTGGGAAAGCTTCTTCCAGGCCATGGGATCTTGTGCCATTCAAGGGTCAGGGAAGGTGCCAGATGAAGCTGTCCTCAGAAAATGGAGTCAAGGAAAAGGGTGTGGTGCTTAGCCAGCAGGTAGTAACAGAGGGCCCTGTGACTCTGGCCTCCTTGGTGTGAGGGTAGGCTGATACAGAGCCCCGGAAGGGCCCCTGCTGATTCTGGGCACAGAGTTTTCCCGAAATGGCACCACCCTATCAAAAGAGAAAGGGCCTGGGCACATGGGTTCTGCCTGCCTGCCTGCCTGCCCTTCCTGCAGCTTCTAGGGAAGCAGCATACCAGGTTCAAAGCCGACTGGCCCATCCCAAGGCTCCTGGAGGCCATCACCTAGATCTTCAGGCTCAGGGATTGCCGTGGGATCTGCGGAGAGGAGGCAACAGATAGTGACCCCACAGGTCAGAGGAACTGCCTGACCTCTGGGGTCAGAGGTTGGAGGGGAGGGAGCCCCGGGGAGCCCTACCGTGGTGCTGGCAGTCAGGGCCCGCAAAGCCAGGGCAGCACCTCCAGGCCACGGAGGCCAGCACCTTCTGCTTGACCTGGTACACCGGCTTGTGTGCCATGCGATACCTGGGGAAAGAGGGGCCAGCTCAGTGACTCCAGGGTGCGCCAGCGTGGGCCTCGGATGGACGGCCCGCCCTGCGCCATCCTACCCCCACTCACATGACTTTGACTTTCTGGCAGTCCAGAGTCCCCTGTGGACATGGCTGCTGTGAGTGGACGAGGAATTTCTCCGTTTTGCAAGCAGCTACAAAGGTGACCAGCCTGGACTTCTGGTAAGGGCACCAGTTACTGGAAAAACAAGCCAGAAGAGAGGGCTGCCGAGCCACGCCCAGGTCCCATAGGACCCTTCCTAGAGGTCAACAGTGATACCAGCGCCCCACCCCGGCCTCCCGGCCCCACCCAATGCCCGGGATTCTAGAATCCATTAGCCTGAGAGGGGAGCACTCTGCATTATTCATCCCTCGACTCCAGGACAAAAGCTCCGCAAACCCTCCTGCAAGGGCATCTACTCCATGCCTTCCAGGAAGGCCCTCGAGCAGGGGCCAGCACAGAGACACTGAAGAGCAGCCTCCAAATCACACAGCAAAATGACCCATGGAGCTAGGAGGGCCTCTCACTGTTTCTCTTGGTGCCAGGGAGGCAGCATAATGCTGCTGGGGCTGGAGGGTCCTGGGTTCAAATCCTTCACACTCCAGCTGTGTGACCTTGAGGGAGGCACTTAGGGAGCTCCCCCTTCCCCATTCCTCAGCTGGAGATGCTAATACCCTCCTCCAGGTGTGCGGATGAGTATCAAGGGCCTGGCTCCTGACAAGTGCTCAGCGAACCCTGCTGCCCTGCCCCATCACCACTCACACGTTTCCTCACAGGGACCAGGCTGCGGGGAGGGCACCTGCTCCCTGGCCGCTCCCCGTGATGGCCATTATGGAAATGGGCTTTCAAACAGTTGTGGGACAAGGCAGCTGAGCTGAGCAGTCCTTTCTCTGGGCAAGATCCTACAGGGTGCTTAGGGGGTCACATTCAGCATCCTGAACACCAGAGGGGTAGCCTCTCCACCTCTGCCCTTTACCAGTGTGTATGGTTGCAAATGCCCAGGAGCAGGGGTGCTCATGGCTGGCACAGCCCCAGCTCACTGATCCGGTGACAGCCTTGAAGGGCTCAGTACAATAGGTCAGAGGGTCCTTCGCCTGGTAATCAGCTCCCAGAACGGAGCTCTCCAGAGTTGCAAGCGGCAATGACTTCCATGGCTCGGCTCAGCTCAGCACCTCCTCGGGATTGGGTGCTGGGCTAAAGCTCAGCAGCACTCAGCGCCAATATGGAGGAACAGACCTTCCCCCCAGGGTCCCCAGGAAAAAGCAGGCAATCTCAGATGATGTGGAAGGTGCTAGCTGGGGAGACTTTCAGAAGGAGGTGATAATTTGGCACCAGGGGCTGTGATAGAGGTTATGGCCCGCTGAAATGCAGGGGCTGGGCCAGGGAAGGGCTGCAGAGGTAAGGGGAAGCCAGGCTGTGGAGGCCTGAGTGCTAGCTGAGGAGCTGGACCTTGCAGTGAAAGCACGGAAAGTGTGTGTGTGGTGGGTGGGGGGGGGGGGTTGAGCAGTGGAGTGACATGACAGAGCCACCCTGGTTCCTGGGTACAGAAAGGACAAGAAGGGGCAAGGTATAGGTAGGTGGCTGTGTCAGGGATCTAGGTGGAAGATGCTGGCAGGTTCCATGGGTAATGGTGGTGGGTATGGAGAGGAATGGCCACACTTGTCAGATATTAGGAGGCAGTGTTCAGGGCCTTGGAGATGGAGTGGCCATCGGGCTGGGATCTTACTCTCTGGAGCTGGTCTCTGTACTGGGGCTACCAGGCACAAAGGGATGGGGTAGGGCAGGGGGAAGGATTGACGGGGGTTGAGTGACCATATCTGTTTTGAAAGCTGAGGACCCCCAGCCTGATTTCCCACTTGGATCCTAAAAGCCTGGTGGGCAGGTTTTAGCCTCTTGGTAGCAGACTGAAAAAGCTTGTCAGGAAAATGACACCACTCAAGAGGAAAGAGCTAAAAAAAAATAACATCAGGGGCTCCCCTAGTAAAATAGCCCCAGAACATATTATGACAAAAGAAGTCAGAAAGCTCCATCCGTACAGCCAGCTTCCAATCAGCTTCTTAGTCTGTCTACTCTCAAGTGGGCAGACGTCCAAGATGACTCCTGAGAAAAATCTCTAGTACAAAAGAGGGAGGTCAAAAACAAGCAATTGGAAAAAAAATCAACTTGGACAAACCCAACACTGTGCAGAGAAGAGAAGTCCCTCAAATTTGTAATAATAGCCCCAGATCTATAAGAGAAGTTACTACAGCCAAGAAAGAACAGGAAGCTATTTTAAAAATGGAAGAACATTCAGAGAATGAAAAGGACCCTTGGAAATTAAAAATATAACAGTAGAAATGCAAAGGAGATTTAATAGAAATGTTAGAGGTTAGAGAAATTTTCCTAAAAAAAGAGCAAAGAGAGAAAGAGAAAACAGGAGAGGAAAGATCAGAAAAATAGATCCTGGAAATCCAGCATCCAAATAATAGGAGTTCCATAAAGAGAACAGAGCGAGGAAATCATTGATGAAAAAAATCAAACAAATATTACGGAAGTGAAGGGCTTGAACCTCCAGATTCAAAGGGTCCACCAGTTACCTGCAATATGATGGAAAAAACTCAGTATCATGGAATTTTAGAATTCTGGAAATGAAAATAATTCTATACTTTCTAGAGAGAAAAATCAAGACACACACACACACACACACATTAGCACTTAGAATGGCTTGAACCCCTCAACAGCAACACTAGAAACAGTGGAGAACTGCCTTCAAAATAGGGAATGGGGGCACCCGGGCGGCTCAGTCAGTTAAGCGTCTGACTCTTGGTTTCGGCTCAAGTCATGATCTCAGGGTTGTGAGATCAAGCCCCACACTGGGCTTCATGTTCTGCATGGAGTCTGCTTGTCCCTCTCCCTGCTCGCACTGCCCCCCTCAACCCGCTCAAATAAATAAATAAATAAAATCTTTTTAAAAAAATACAGAAGGAAAACATTTCCAATTTAGAATCCTATACCCAGCCTAACTATCAATCAAAGTGAAGAGAGCAGAATAAAGACATTTTCAACAAATCAGATTTCAAAACCTTGCACACCCCAGGATCCCTCATCAGGGAGCTACTAGAACAGTGGTTTGCAATCTTGCCATCAAATCTTCACATCAAAACCACTGTATAGCACTTTATAAAGAAGAGCCTCTGGGCTCCACTCCAGATCAATGAAGCAAGAGTCTCTGGGATTGTGGCCTGAGCATCAATATTTTAAAGTTCTCTGGGTCATCCTAAGTCACAGCCTAGGACAGAGTACCATTGTGCCAGAGGTACTCCACCAACACAGGCCAGAGAACCAAGCACAAGGAAGGCACGGCCTCAGGAGACAGATGTTCCAGGAGGGAGTCGGGGGGAAGGGAGAGCCCAGTAGAGTGGTGGGCAGTGGGTGTGGGGCCAGCGTCCAGACTGGAGCACAGCTGGGGCTCTGGGAGTGATGTCACCGAGAAGACACAGTGGTCAAACACCTGACACGGATGAAAGGGGAGAGCAGATGTGGACAAGTAGCCAAGAGTTTAGGATTGAGTAGTGACAGAGACACAGGGAATGAAGCCAAAGAAACAAAAAAATGAAGACAGTTGTTTATTCCAGGGAAAACCAAAAATATGAAGTGTGCGGGGCGGGGGGTGGGCAGGGGGAGGGAGGATTCATAGGTTTTTTTCGAGTCTTCACTCTGAGTAGCATACATAGTCGTATAAATGTAAACACTTAAAATGACAATATGGGAGGATGATGGATAGGCAGTGCGTGTGTGTGTGCCCAAGTATGCACGTGCACGCATTCTTGCACGCCTATGCATGCATGTTGGGGTTGGAGTATGGAGTGGGAATGAGAGCTGAATCATGGATAATGCTACGTCCCAAGAAGTAGCAATATAAACATGTTAGTTAGAGACACAGGGGTAAATGCCAAAGGATTCACCTAAAGAGTTCAAAGCATTGCCTTTGGGGACCAGTAGGGGCAGGGCCTTCTGACTGTCTCAACGAACTTTGCAGAAGGTTTGACTCTAACCCAGAGGGTGAGCACAGTTTTTCCATAAAGGGAGAGAGAATAAATATTTTACACGAAACTGACTACATAATTTGTAGTGTCCAGTGCAAAATGACAATGTGGGACAACAATAGAGATTAAACCAAGTGTGGGGCCCTTCTGTGGGCGTGCCCTGTGTGACGGCTCAGGTCACACGCCCATGGAGCTGGCCCTGACTTTAGGCAAAGAATGTTCACTCAACACGGAAAGAGCGACTATGACAGTGCTAGGCCCAGAGTTTAGGGACCACGGGTGAGATGGCCACCTGTACAGACTGTTCCAGGACCAGAAACTCCAGCCTCCACCCTACCCCCACCCTGGGCCCCATGGAAATGCTGGAACATGGGCCTGTAGAAAAGCGTTTCTCTAACCAGTGGTTCTCGGTGGGGAGGGGCGCGGGGGGGGGCGGCGGGTGTAGGGGGGAAGGGACTTCCTCCACTGGGAGGGTGGCCGTGAACCTGGCATCTAATGCACAGAGCCCGAGGATGCTGCCGAACACCTCGCAAGGCACACAGCACAGCCCAGCACCCCCGCGGCCAAGAATTAGCCAGTTCCAAATGCCCGTAGTGCCGAGGTTCAGAAACACCCACTCAAAACAAAGTTCTGTTCATTGCTCACCCTCTGAACTGCTGTGGAGGGTCCAGAAGGCCTGTGCCCAGGGGAGCTGGGTCTGGTCCAGCCTGCCAGCCAGTGACTGGGACTTTCCACCTCGGGCTCCTGGAACCAGAAGTGGTGCCGCCCACCCTTCCTGCCTAGGAACTTTCTCTCCTGACCTGCCCAAACCTCAGGCTCCAACTATTCTCCCTGCCCACGCTCCCCCCCGCCCAACCCTTGGCAGCCCTATCCCCTTGGCATAGTACAGGCCGCTGGCCCAGAAACCCTGGGAACATTCCTGACCTTTGCTTTGGTTTCCTCCAGCTCCTGGCAGCTGCATGCTGGCCCTCTGAGCCTGAGCCCCCAGCCCGGCTCGCCGAAGCTCCCATTGTTCTCACTGCGCCCCCTTTGCACCTTCATCCCCTGGGGCCAGCCTAGAAATGAGTGCAGGGATCCTCCAGCGAGTTTGGGCTGCCCTGGGCCTCTGACATGGCCCCCACCTGAGGCTTTGCCCCAGTCAGGAGAGTGCTAGCCCCTCTGGAGCTTCTAATGCAAGCTCAGAAGCTTGGGCGCCCCCCTGCCGTCCCCCTTCCTGGGCTCAGGGTGACCGTGAGCAAGGCCTTTCCCCCCTCCCCAGTCCTGGCAATGTGGAGAAGATTGGCACCTCCGGCCCCTCCCTTGGGACAGAGGGAGGGGCTATGGGGGAAGCTGAGCCAGCTTCCAGCAAGGAGAGGGCTGTGAGCTGGAGCCCCCCGAATTATGGATGTGCCACTGCCACTGTCCACTGAGACACTTCAGTGCCAACAGAGCCCCCCTCGGACTGTCCCTTCCGTCATTCTGGGGAAGGAGGGCGTGTTCTCTGCACCCTTGCTTTCTGAGACCTCGAATGCAGCCTTGAATACGACCACTCCAGGGGAGAATTTGCGGGGCTTTGTCTTTGAGCTGGAAAGGGGCTTTGGCAGAGGAGCCTGAGGCCCACTCGATGTCCAGAGTGGGGGTTCCCCGAGTGCGCCCAGGGCCCTGTACTTCTGACGGCAGGAACAGGTGCAGGAGGTGCAGCTACGGCCGTGACGCGTGGCCTGGGCTCCGTCCTGTGTGACCTCCAGCCGTGTGCAGGCCTGCCCTGGGCCACCAGCGCTCAGCTGCACTCAATCACAGATGCTACTTGTGCGTGGGCCAAGAGAAGCTGATGCTGGCGGGCAGGGCCAGCTGGACAGCTGGGAGCAGCCTCTCCTACACCACCGCCCATCCTGGGGGGGCCAGGACAGCGGGTACCCGGGATTTGCAGCCCACTGGATGCTCGGACCTGTCACTTAGGAGCTGGGTGGCGTCCCCATTCCTCTGAGCCTCACAGCATGGAGAGAGCCGAGGGAGCTGCCTTGTCACCACGGTGTGGAGATGGGGCACCTTGCCCAGGGCTCAGCTTGGTCCCCAACGCAGGCTCAGCCCTGCAGGGGTGCTAATGCGGGCTCTGAGGAGCCCACCTGCTAAACCGCTGCTCAATCCCACTCCCACCAAAACCAGGGAGCATCAGAAGAGCCTCCTCCCCAAGGAGTCCAAATACACATGTTGCTGGGGGTCCCAGAGCTGTGGGAAGCACCCAACCATGTCCCGCCTCCACCCTGGGACCTGGCATCTGGCACCAAATTGTTCTGTTCGAACTTCTCCTTGGAAATAGTCTCATCTGAGCCTATGTCCAGGGTCTACCAGAAACAGGTGTGGGGCGGGGCAAATGCAGGCTGGGAGGCCTGGTTCTGGCAGCCAGGGGCTGAGGGTCCACCAGGCTTGTCCCTGATGCTGCCGGGCCCCACCTGCCCTTCCCCCTGTTGCAGGAGGGAGGCTGGAGCACCATTTCCGCCTCTCCCTTCACAGAGCATGGGAAGCAATCAGCCCGAGGAAGCTGAGCAGCATTTCCTTCCTTTCACACCAGCCCCTCCGGAGGCCTTGACAACCTGGGCTGGGCCTGTGGGGACCACAGCTTCTGGGTTGTGGGCAGGAGACCCAGCAGGCCTGCTGGGACCCCCAGGCTTCCCCGGGACCAGGGTATTCCTGGGCTGGGACGCCCTTCTATGTACATCCGCACATGCTCTGCACACACTGGGACCGACCAGGGAATGGATGAGTGAGCTCCATGGGGCAGCCCACAAGTCCCTCCCCATAGCCAAGGGGGTGTGGAAAAAGAGGAATGTCTCCTACCTTCTTCTGATCCACCTGGAACCCTGAGCCTCTCTTTTATCAAAAGGAAGCAGGCAGCCCAAAGAAAGGGGCATGGAGCTAGTGGCTTTGGGGAAGGGAGGCTTGGTTCTTGGACGTGAAATCAGAGTTGGGTGGCTGGAGTCCCCCACCAAGAATCACCCACACCATCCAGCACCGAGCCGGCCTGGTGGCGGGGCAGAGATGGGGCGGCTCCCCACTTGGCCAGCAGCCCCCTCACTGAGAGTCGGCATGCACTTGCTTATTCTTTCCTCTCCATGGGCAAATCTGCTTTCAGGAAAGTGTCCAACAAACACATTCACCTTGAAGCGTCAGAGCTGTATAGAACTGTCCCAGGCGGATTCATTCTGTAAGCCAACGTGACAGTGAATCTCAGAGAGCCAAATGGAAGACTCTGGGTGGGTGTAAGTTGACCCCTCTCACCCTCTAAATCCATATAAACACTCTCACCAAGCCTGGTTTGTGTGTGTGTGTGGTCAGGGGGGCGGTAGGCACATTAGGCACATCTGGGGGTTGGGGCTGCCTCTGAGTGTTCAGGGACCAGAACATGAGCTCTGAAGTCAGACTGAGATCGTGGTTTCTCCTTAGCTGCGTGATCTTGTGGCAGCTGCTTAGTCTCTCTGAGCCTCGGGCTCTGCGGCAACCCGGGCTGTTGGGAGGATTCACTGAGATAACACTTGGCAAGGTGACTAGCCCAAGAGGGACCCAGTAAAGGACCTACTGCTCTGACGGTGGAGGACCCGAAGGAGGGACCCACGGGCCCAGCACCTTATCGGCAGGGGCCCCAGGGCCTGGACAAATACAAGGCTGGAAAATGGTGTCCTGGTTCAGTCCCAAGACCATCCTACCCATATCCAGAGGGGCACTGAAGCGGAGCTCCCTGGATGCCGTGGCCTCCTCCTTGTTCTGGAAATAGAGCAGAGCACCCTGTCTGCTCGCTGCCTGTCCCTCAGCCTGAGGACCCACACCAGTCCCCCGGGGGCAATCAGACAAAAATCCAGTCCCCAGGAGTGTCTGTCTTCTATGACTTAGGCCAAGCCAGCCTCACCTAGGCTCAACTGTCAGAGTTTACTTATTTCGAAGAACAGGAGCCATTGCCAGGCCAGCTGGAAACTTCTGGAACTACTGCCCCTCATCACCCCATGCTAAGCGGTTGGTGGCAAGAAATGCTCCTGCCCGACCTCCAGGTCCATTCCCTGCCATGGGCCAGGCAGGGAAGTTCCTGTGGTGCCCAGTCCGGGCTGCCTGGGGGTGGCCTCTTGAAGGGAGCCTGGCACCTGGCACCTCCTTCAGCCTCACAGCTGGCCCAGCAGGTAGACAGTAGTAGGTCATTTCACAGATGGGTAACTGGGGTCCCGAGAGACCTGCCCTGGCTGAGCTGGGACTTGGATCATGTACATGACCTCCCCCAAGGTCGAGGTCCTCCTTACCTTCTGCTGGGGTCCCTGCCGGTGTCCTCAGCCTCCGCCCTCCAGACCCCAGGCAGCCTTGGGTTGTGTGGATCCGAGAGCCCGCTACCTGGGGCCTGGGCCGAGGCCCCCAGCAGCCCCCAGCCCAGGGGCCCTCCGAGGCCGAGCAGCAGTGTCAGGATCATCTTGGCAGTGGGGCAGGCTCAGCTGCAGCAAGGGACTCCACAAACTGCTGGTGAGGGTGACGTCGTCTTCAAGTTAAGTCTCAGAAGGAAAAGAAAGCACAGGGACAACAAAGAGAGGAAGTGGCCTGGGCCGGCCCACCCGGTGAGCCTCGTCCGGCCTCCCCCAGTGCCCCCCCCCCCCACCGTCCCCCACAGAGGCAGCCAACAACTCAGGCTGGTTCCTGTGCCTCAAGAGGACTTAGGTCAGGGACACTGGAGGTGTGGGACGCACAGGGAGACGGCCCCACCAAACGTCCCCATAGAAGCTAGGAGAGCCCAAGCGAGGAGGTGGGGCTGCAGGAAGCGGTCGGGTCAGTCTCAGGAAACCTGCTGCCCATCCATGCTGGTGGTCAGGAAGTGGGGGGCACTTCATGCCTACTCAGCACCTTCCACCCCAGGGCTGTGGGAGCCAGCAGGTGGGTGGAGACTCGAGAGAGAAAGGAGCTGTCCTAGGGTCGCTAGGGCATTGGAGAACCCTTGCGGGCTCCTCTGCCCCAGCTCCCCGCTGCCCTTGCTAGAGCCCAGGGATGGGGTCATCCACGGGGCTGGTGAGTCACCAGGCAGCCCAGGCTGGTCTGGGAGGTTGGCCACTGTTGCCTGACAGGCCCCACGGGGCCCTGACCCCTGCCCTACCTGGGACGCTGGTAGCAAAGGCGCCTCCCCTGCCTGACCCCCTTTGTCCCAGATGGATCAGACACGACAGGCCGGGGGCCTGAGAGCCCCCAGCCGTGGCGGCCGCTGCGGGTGGGCAGGGCAGCTGATGAATAAGAGGCAGTGATAGATAAGGACGTGCGCAGCCCCCTGCAGCCGCCCTCCCCGGAGGGCAGGGGGCAGGAGGGGAGGGCTGGGCAGCAGGGGCGCAGGGGAGCCGGACCCCCGCTGCCCCGCCCTGGGGGGAAGGTGAGGGCAGGCGCCCTCCCCCCGCCCCGCCCGCCCCGCTGGCCTCGCTCCCAGCAGCCGCCGCATCATCAATATTTCACGGGCGTCAGTAAGAGGCAGCGGGGAAGGCGGCTGCAGCAGCATTCTCGCCCGCTCTAGCCACAGTGCTCGGCAAGCGTCAGCCTCCCTGCCCTGCCCACATGGACGTCTTCAAGAAGGGCTTCTCCATCGCCAAGGAGGGTGTGGTGGGCGCCGTGGAGAAGACCAAGCAGGGGGTGACGGAAGCGGCCGAGAAGACCAAGGAGGGGGTCATGTATGTGGGTGAGTGTGGGCGACGCAGGGCGTGGCAGGGTGCAGCAGCCGGGACGCCGGAGGCGGGGGTGCCCAGTTTCCCGGGGCCAACCTTATCCCCCAGCCCCAGGGAGGCATTTTGGGTGGGCGTGAGGACCTGGCTGTTGAGTCAGGGTCTCCAGGCCCTGGAGCACGCCCATCCCCCTGTACACCACCCATCCAAGCCCCCCAGTGTCTGCTTTGACTTCCTCAGGGCCCCAGGGTCTCTGGGGCAGAACAGCAAGAGGGCACTCAGCCCTCACACACACCTGTTTGTGCACACACACATGCACACACGCACGCGTGTGAGTGCGAGTGCACGGATGCAACCCAGCGTGCCCCACCCCAGCACCACCTGCAGGCCCCTGGACTCAGATGAGAAGCCACGCTGAGCCTGGAGCCTCTGTGGGATGAGCAGGCAGGTGCTCAGCGGCCACGTCCCAGGCCCCCACCCTGTTCCGAGGGAAGGGGTGGGCAAGGGAGAGGAGCCCAAGCCCCAGGGTCCAGGGCAGCCCCGCCACCCCTCAGCCCCTTGGAAGCCGGTGACTCAGCTCTGTCCTGCTGCTCCTTCCGAGGCCCAGGCCTCACCCGGGCAGGTCTGCACCCTACCTCAGGCCTGGTCTCTCTCGCCCTTGTCCTGTCCTGTCCACTTCCCATCCATCCCCTTCCTCCAGACGCAGCCGGAAGCAGCCTTTGAAGGGACTGCTGGCCCCCAGACACCATCCTCACCCCCTACCGACCCCACAGCTTGTCCAGCTGTTCTGTGTGTATCTGCCCTCACCCCCCTCCCCAACACCAGGAGGAGTAGACTGACGCCTCCATTTCCTCCCCAGGAGCCAAGACCAAGGAGAATGTTGTGCAGAGCGTGACCTCAGGTGAGGAGGCCAGGACCAGGGGACATGGGGGCTGGGACCTCCAGGGACTGCAACCTGGTACTGAACACCTGAGCCCAGGGTCCTCCTTACCCCCCAACTGGGAGCCCAAGCTGTACATGGATCCAGACTCCACCAGACCCTGAGGTTAGACCCAGGGTGGGCCCCCTGATTCCTCCATCAGCAACAGGGCTCCCCTGGAGTCAGAGAAAGGGGAGTAGAGCCAGAGTTTTGAGTGTCCTGAGAAAGGGGCTGCTCAGCCTGACTTGGGCAGGCCAGGCCCAGGCGGGGAAGGGGCAGGAGGACCAAGGCCAGCCAGAGTCCTCTTGCAGTGGCTGAGAAGACCAAGGAGCAGGCCAACGCTGTGAGTGAGGCCGTGGTCACCAGCGTCAACACAGTGGCCGTCAAGACGGTGGAGGAGGCCGAGAATATTGCCATCACCTCTGGAGTGGTTCGAAAGGTGAGATTGGGTCCCGGAGAGGCTAGCTACGGAGGAGGCGTTATTGCCTCATGACACATATAAGGAAGCAGAGACTTAGGGACCCATGATGTGTGCTTGGTTTTTCTCACACCCATTAACGCCTAGGATCCTCCCAATGACCCTTGTGAAGGGGGCAGTTTGGGGCCCAACTGGAAAGTGAGGCTCAAAACCACGTCCCCTTGATGCTCAGCATTTGGGAGGCATCACATTTCACTAGTGAAAGCAGGGTCCTGTGGGCCCCCAGTGGTGACAGGCAGCGTCCTAGGCCATAGACATCGGGCTGGAGCTGCCAAGTCACCGCTCACAGGCCTGGTGGCCGGCCTCCCTGCAGGGCCTGGTGGGCTGCCTTCACCTCCCAGGAGGAGCAGGGCAGCAGCGCCCCCTCGTGACAAAGCAGTGAGGGTCCTGACCCCGCCCTCCACCTTCGTGGGTGCTAGCGTGTGCGTGTGCGTGTGTGTGTGCGCGCGCGCGCATGCGCCGGTGGGCTTGCCGCTGCTGGGAGCACGGAGAGCAATAGGGCGCTCCCAGGAGCGGGAGGCCCGTGGGTGAGCTGTCCCAGCACCCACCACAGAGCACGCTCTGCTTGAAGCACGTCACACTTACTAATTCATTTAATTGGCACAAAATCCCCAGAAACAGGGTGTGGAAATGAGGCCCAGAGAGGTTAAGTAAGGTGCCCAAGGTCCCAGGGCAGACTCTGCAGGAGGGTAAGGTAGCGGGTGGGAGCCCGGTTTATATGGGGGGCAGGTACAGGCCGCTCCGGGCCCCCAGCAATGAGGATCCCTGCTTCGGGGAGAGGGTGGGGGGAAGGGGGCCACCTAGGCACCCACTTTCAGCACCAACACAGGGTCCCCATGTCCCTGGGGCGGGCAACTGCTCCCTGTCCTCATTCCCAGCTCTGCCCCTTGCTAGCTGTATGACCTTGGGAAGCTGCTCAACCCCCTGGCACCTCCATTACCTCATCCGTAACATGGAGGGGCTGAGAGGGCCCGTTTCCCGCGACGATGTATGATCCTGCAGGGAAATTGCCCCCCGGGATACCGTTACACCTGGATCATGGGGAGCACCCAACAGAGGCAGGTGACTATATCATCATCATCTGTGCCTCTGGGCAGGACCCATAGGTGCTCCAGGGGACGCCAGGCCCCTCCCTCTCCCACCCCCCAGCAAAAGAGGCGCTGGGGTGGGGCCAGGCTGCCTCTGGGCCTCCGAGAGGGAGTCTGGACACTCCTGTTTGGCCTCGAAGGAGGGCCGGTGAACCCATGGAGTCACCCCAGGTCCTAGGGTGCGGGTGGCTGCCCCAAGGGGACATTTCCTGGTGACACTTAAAAACCAGTCGCACTGCCTCTCCAGTGAACCACGGAAGGATGCAGCACTGCCAGTCTGACAGCTCTTCCATTCCGCTGGCCTCATGCACCTGCCCTGGGGCGGCAGGACTAGGCAGGGAGCCACCTACCCTTTGCCTGGAAGGCCTGCCCCAACTCTAGCTGACACAGTTTGGTGCCCTTTTAAAGCCCCAACCCATCAAGGATGTCCCAGTGGTAGCACGGAGATGGCAGGATCCTCTAGAGGTAGATGCTAGGACTGGGATCCAGGCTGATCATCCAGTCTGGTCCTGCCCACAGCTGTCACTCAACCACCCCCCAGGCAGACCACCTTAGGCAAGTGTTTGGCTGGGGGTAAGGGAGCAGGAGACAGGTAGTGGGGAGGATTGTATAACCCCTACTGACCTCAACCAGACCAGCTTGAGCCCAGAGCCCATCCAGGAGGTAGGGAGAGAGAAAGATGCTACTAGGGATAGGGATGGGCCTGGAGCAAGCCGAACCTGATCCTTACCAACTCCATTGCTTTGAGCTCTGAGGTCTTGAGCTGGATACTTGGCCTCCCTGGCCTCAGGGTCGCTGTACAAACTGATGGCATACCCCTCCACCTAGGGTTATTTGGGAGTTAAGTCGGACAGGGCTGTATGATCATGTGATTTGGGGGCATTGAGGGTGGTGTCACGTCTCAGGCTTCAGGGCCACAGCCCTCCCCCACACCACTGCACCCCACCTCACCAGTCCTCCTTGATGCAGAGGCCCAAACTCAGACTGCCCAGAGACTCTGCATTAGCTTAGGGGGTGTAAAGCGGGGCTCCAGGAGACTTGGTGCCCCCAGAAGGCCTTGCATCATCGGACAGAGCCCCCACTGTGGGCCCTTACATGAGGCTCTGTCACTCCCATGGTCAGACTGGTCCTCACACTTCCTTCACCTCCGGGCCTCTGCTCATCTTTGAGCCAGGTGGGTGAGCCCTGGTTGCAGAGCCGTGGGAGCCTCTGCACACTCCACACCGCCTTGGTCCCCCTTCGCTCCCTCACAGGAGGACCTGGAGCAACCTGCCCCCCCGCAGGAGGACAAGGAGGACAAGGCAGCCAAAGCGGAAGAGGAAGTGGCTGAGGAGGTAGGTGCTGGGCTCCCGGATTCCCCTGGGCAAGCCTGCTTCCCTCCCAGGGACCCAGAGCCCTCAGGGCCGCCTCTTGACCTTCTGCAGCCCCCTCAGCCTGAGTGTGAGGTCCCCTCATGAATGACTCCCTCAGGGTGGAGGGGCAGAGATGACTCCCAGCCCCACCGCCCTTGGGGTGGCCGCTGAGGGTTGGGGCCTGGAGCTGTGTGTGAAAGTCACTCTCTCTCTCTCTCTCCCAGGCCAAGAGTGGAGGAGACTAGAGGGATGCCAGTTGGCCATGGAGGCTTCGAGGAAGAGCCTTCTGCCTGGGACCCCACCCCCACCTGGCACGCAGAGTGCCCAGCCCTGGAGCGCGACCTGGGTTGCCCATGTTCCCATGCCCACACCCGGCCACCCACAGGCCTGCCCTCCTAAGCTGCCTCTGACGCCTTCACCTCCCTCACTCCCTCCCTCGAGGCCTCCGCCCCCAGTCCTTCTGACCTCACAGATGCTGAGGTGAAATTTTGTTTTTAAAGATTCCAAATAAAACTCAAGTCCTCACCCCTGGCCATACCTGCCCAAGCTTCTGCTCTGTGCTGCCTCATCTGGGAACAGGAACCCGGCCAGCCGGCTGGTGGGTCTGGGAAGCAGGTCCGGGGCCAGATACACTTCGGGCAGACCCTAGGCATTTCGAGAACATTCTAAGAGTAGGCACTGCCTTCAGGGAGCCCACACCATTGTCTTTTAACATGGAGAAAGCTGCCCTGCTTTTGGCTCCCCCAGACAACCTCACACCCCTCCCTGGAACAGATGGTAACCTTCAAAGATGTGACGTCTAGACCCATAGCAAGACCTCTTTGAGTCCTCCTCAGGGCAGAAGGACATGACCCCATAGCTCCTCCTGCCTGACCCCACCCGGCTTCAAGCTCCCACCAGCTGGGAGCTGGGCTTTCCTGTCCTTCGCCAGAAGTCCTGTCAAGTGGGCACCTGGGGGGCTCAGTTGGTTAAGCAACTGCCTTCGGCTCAGGTCATGATCCTGGAGTCCCAGGATCGAGTCCCGCATCGGGCTCCCTGCTCAGCGAGGAGCCTGCTTCTCCCTCTGACCCTCCCCCGTCTCATGTACTCTCTCTCATTCTCGCTCTCTCAAGTGAATAAATAAATCTTTAAAAAAAAAAAAAAAAGAAGTCCTGTCAAGTGTCATTAGAAAAGCGGACAGCTGAGATGCAAGAAAGTGAGCCTCCACCTTGAAAGTAGTAAAAATGAGCTCCTCCCAGGCCTGAGTGCTTTACGTAATTTAATCCTCAGAACAAACTGTTGGTATGATCCCAGTTTCCCTGAGAATGAACTGAAGAACAGAGGTTAAATAACTTGTCCAAGGGCACAGAGCAAGGAACCTTGGGGACTGGGCAGAAGCCAAGGTCGCCTGGCTCCAGAGCCACCCAGTTAACTCCCATGCTCTGCTACAGCCCCACTGACTGTGTGGACCCAGGTGCTTACGGCAGAGGCCACCACCCCCGGGATTTCAAAGTAACCTGGGGATCAGGCTGGCAGGTGTCCTACATGAAGGCTATTGGCATCATGCCCTGGGGTCTTGTTCAGAAGTGGTGGAGGGGTTCCTTCCCCTTTGGCACCCAGACAGTTTGGGCTCAGAGCATCTAAGTGACTTGCCCCAAGCCGCCAGCCCTGGGTGTCAGAGCCAGAGCTTGAGTCCGCCCCCGAATTCAGATACTACCGAGACCATCACTTTCCCATCCTGCCTCAGTGGTGGGAGCAGGGGTCAAGGCCAGCCCTGGGGGCTGGGAACCCAGTCAAGCACAGCTGAGCAGGGTTGTATTCCAGCCTGCTGCCCATGGGCATCCACTGCCGAGGAGGCAGAAAGGAACAGGAGACTGCTGGTTCCCCAGGCCCCCAAATCCTGCCACAGGAGGAGTGAAAGGTCTGGAAAAGGTTCAGGGCCGTCAGGGGTGTTAATGCTCCTGGGCCCAGATGCGGGCACACAAGCAGGCCTGTGCATGCCCAGGAGGGGTCCACCTGGGGCCTGGGTGTGCCTGAGAGCTCTTTGGACTGTGAGAGACAGAGAGGAGGAGCGAGTCCCATAAGGTGACAGGGGGAGGAGGACTCCTAGACCCAGCCCCTGCGGACAGTGCATCACCAGACTCCCAGGGCCCTCTGCCTCTGCTGAAGGAACCTGGAAGGGTCCCTGCTGCTCGACTCCCACCCTAGGCACATACTCAGGGCCTGTTCTTGGGGTCAAATGCCAAACATCTAGGTTTGCCCTGTCTGGGAAGCCTGTTCCCACCCCATGGCACCTGCACTGCTCCTAGCCTTCAAAACCCCTACTGGGGCACCTGGGTGGCTCAGTCGTTTAGGCTAGGGGGCCAGCTCTTGATCTCAGGGTTGTGAGTTCAAGCCCTGTGTTGAGCTCCTCGATGGGCATGGAGCCTACATTAAAAAAAAAAAAAAAAAAAAAACCAGACCCTCTATTATGTGCTCTGGGCTCCTGGGGCTACCTTCCCTAGAGGAACAATTGGTCTCTCCCTGTCCCTCTCCTTACCTGAGAAGCCCCAGGTGAATGGCCCCCTGTTGAAGGGACCCCGCTGAGTGTGGGGCATCCTTCAGCCCATTTAACCCTCACAATAGCACTTGGAGATTCTCTTGCCCCCATCCGCCCATCAAGGATGGGGACACTGGGGCTCAGAGAGATGGACTTGCCCTGGGGAGTATGTGACCCCAAGAGGTCTGACTGCAGTGCCTCCTGCTTTAGAGCCACTCAGCTCTCTCTGTCATCACCTGCTTGGGCCCCGCTGTGCCTCGCACAGAGCCTGCTGCCTCCCTGTCTTGTTCTCGCCCACTGGGACCGGCAGCAAATAGCCTTAACAGCCAGCCATGAGCTAACTGCTGTGGTGATCAGACCCTCCTGGCCGAAGAGACTGGTGCTACTGGTGGGAATTCAGGAGGATGTGGGCAAGGCTGGGCTCCCCGGAGTCCCGAGGCAGCAGGAAGGCTGCTTCCACCGCGCCTTTGTGCTCTGGGCTTGGCCGGGCTTCAGGCCAGGAGGAGCGGGCGTGGCGGCCGCTTGGTTCATCGGTGCTTGGTGTCCCCTCCCCCCATCTGAGCTCAGCGCCTGTCCCTTTTACTTGCCCAGAGTTATCTCCATTAATCTATTCTCACTGTGTGCGCGCGCGTGCTTCCAGATAACTCCACGCCGTGGCTGACGCTCCGCGGTTTACCCCCCCGCCCCCTGCCTCTGCCCCCCCCCCCTCCTCCCCCGGACTAGAGGCAGGGTATGGGCCAGCAGAGTGGACCTGGGTAGGCGAGGTCTTCCCAGGGCTCCAGAATCGGGAAGACTCCCACAGAGGCGCAGAGACCGGCCCGGGGCGGCGGGGGGAGAACCAGAGAGTAAGCACTAGAGAGAGGGTCAAGCCGCCGCACCAAAACGCACAAGGGAGTGCGGCGGTGGCCTCCAGGCTCCGCAGGCTGGCTCTGGAGTGGAAGAACGCGGGGCGGGGTGGAGGCCTGACGAGCACACTTGGGTGCCAGGCGGTCATGCCTCTTGGGTCATTTTGCTGTCCTCGGGATTCCTGGCTCCCCGACTGGCGCCTGGGCCTCTAACGCCTCTCCCAGCGCCGCCGGGGTGGTCACCACATCCAGAGCGCGCCCCATCCTGGGAAAGGTGACCTCAGTGGTCTGAGGCTCGGCTACTCCCTTCTTCGCTGTGTGGCCTGGGGAGCGTCCCTGCCCTCTCTGAACCTTGCCCCCCGCCCAACTCGTAGGGGTTTGGTGACCTAAGGTAGGGCTCTCCTTGCCTGGTCTGGGCGCACACAGCGGCCCTCTTGGTTGTCCCCCTCCACTTTGGGCTGCTTCCTCCCCAGAGGCGCTCGCCAGTGACTCGCCCTCTGTGAGAGGGATTTCCTCGACTCTCCCCTCTGCCCCTGCCTGGTCCCAGTAGCATCAGGGCAGCTGGCCAGTCTGCAGTGTCCCGGCCGAGTGTGTGGGGACAGCCACCTTGGCGGTTGTCGGGGCCTTAGGGTTTACAGCCCACCGACGCGGATTCGAGTCCCTGCCTGCCATGTGAGTTTGGGTGAGACCTAACGCGCCCTCTGTGCCTCAGTTTCTTCCTATAAACTGCTAATAACACCCATTTCACGAAGCTGTTGTAAAGATTATACAAGAGGCTGTAAAGCCTTAGGGCAGCGCCTGGCACTAGGTAAATGCTCAGTAAAAGGCCGCTGCTATTATTAATGTCAATTCCAGCCTTGAGATTCTGACCTGGCGCTGACCCAGCGCCCACCGGATCCTCAGGGTCACGGACGAAGGGTCGGGCCGACGGGGAGGGGGGTTTGTGCGCCCCCCTTCTACTCCAGCCCGTCTCTGGACCCCGACCCAACCCCTCTGCAGCCCCTCGCCCCTCTTCAGACCCTGGTGGGGACCGCCGCTTTCTGAACACCGCCCGCCGGAGGCCGGCACGTGCTCTCCGGATGGTGGAGCCTGGAGCAGGGCCGGGTCAGTCCCCGGAGCCGCTCTGCTGGGAAACGCCCCGCGCCCCCCTCTTCCCCGCCCCGCGCTGGGCGGGCCGGCCCCGGGGCGCCTTAAAAACCAGAGCTGGCGCTCTGGTCGCCGCAAGGTGAACCGGATCTAACATCGCTGCGGCTACCCTAGACGACTTCGCAGACTCCCCGCAGCCATGGCCAGCAAGGGCTTGCAGGACCTGAAGCAGCAAGTGCAGGGGACGGCTCAGGAAGCGGGTGAGGAGGGCGCGCGACCTGGGGCACATGCAGGGGCACGCGGCTGGACTCACGGAGGCAGACGCCCCGGGGCTGCGCATCCCGAAAGCTGGTGGGCGGCTCGGGTTCGGGAGGGCCCTCCTCTGAGATGCAGGGACCCGGTTGGACGCCCACCCCACTCAGTCTAGGGGCTGATGCCTTGAGGCAGGTGGGGAACAGCGGTGCCCGAGGGTTCGGGGCCGATTTGGGCATTGCCAGGAGCCAATATGAGGAGGCTGAGCAGGCGGGGACCGGCCCCACCCTGATCCTGAGCGGCCCCCCCTCGGTCCCTTGGGGAGGGTGAAGGTCCACGGAGAGAGCCCGTTGCGGCTGCGCACCCCGAGATGCACCTCTGCCCGCTGGGGTCTCAGAGGCACACTGGACCGGACAGAATGGTGGAAGCGGCTTCCGACCCCTGCCCCACCCCTGAGTTGTTTTGAGCTCCCCCACTTCCCCCACGCCCCCCCCCCCCGAAAAATAATCGTTTCCTTCTAAGTCTTCACCCAGAGGGACTCCCCACCCTCACCCCAGAGGGCAGGTCCGCAGCCTTGTTTCTCCACCTCCAGCTCTTTCCTCCTCAGACCTGAGGTTACCCAGCGGCATGGGGTAGGGTAGACTGGGGCTAGGGAGTGTGAGGAGACCCCTGGGCCCACCAGCTGCAGCTCTTCCAATCCCAGCTTAGCCTCCCTAGGGACTCCAGCTCCCAGTCTGTCCTGCACATATCCCAGTCAACAGACAACAGTCAAACTAACTCCCTCCTTCACCAGTGCCCCAGGGAACTCGGACGGTTGTTCCCCTGAAACTAAAATGCTACCAGGAAGCCTGTCTACAGGCCCCTTCCTTCTGGGCCTCACTTTCCCCATCTGTAGGTTGGATGCAAAGGCTCATTCTGTGGCTCTGACGGGTTCTGTCATATAAGTCCCTGAGGGAGACAGAAAGGTGGGGGGGAGGGGGGGCTTTGTGAGCCACAGACCCAGGGCCTGCCTGAGCCCTCCACACCTCCCTGGCCCAGGGTCTGAGTAAAGCAGGTTCTTTCCTGTTCAGCAGCAAGGATGAGTCAGATCTCTGGAGGCTGGAGCCACTTGTCTGCTCACCCAGCAGGTGGGACCCACTTGAGCCCCTGGAAACCTGTTCACCATAGGCACAAACTCTGGTCCAGAGGACATGGCCTGACCTTAGATGTGTCACCTCCTCTCTGGACTTCACTTCCTAATGCCTTCAGTTGCCCACCCACGGAGGCACTAACATCATGGCTTGTGTGCCTCTGGGATGAGGCACAGGAGAGGGCCTCTTGCCAAAGTGGAGTCCCATGCACTACAGGTGGGAAGCGAGGCATCTGGGCCAGGCTTCTGCAGGAGACATTGTGAAAGGGGGATAGGGTTCCTCCTGGCCCATGCCGGGGAGCAGCAACAGCCCAGATGCCAGCTCCAGCCTCTGTTGGGAGATTTTCTCCGCAATCCTAGAGTTGGGAAGAGAAGCAGGCCAGAGGCGAGGAGCCCAGAGTTATAAATAACTAAGAACACCCTAGAGGCATGGAAAGGGCTCCTGTGCCTCGCTGGCTGGATGGCCTTAGTCCAGCCTTAGTCGAAGGACTTTACTTGGATGGCATTCGTCCCCTGGGGCTGTAGGACAGACTACTCTAGAGAACGGATGGGGGGTAGCAATGGTGGGGCCCCTGTGGTCAGCAGTGTCTCAATAGGGGCTAAAGGCCACATCTCTCTGTTCCAGCGACTGCAGCAGGAGCAACGGCTCAGCAAGTGGTGGATCAGGCCACAGAAGCAGGACAGAAAGGTCTGGTGGGCTGGTGGGCAGGAGGGTGGGCAGCCCCAGCACACTCCCCACCCTATTCAGCCCTCACCCAGAAATGCCCTCTCCTCCGGAGCCCCTCTGCCCACATTGCTTCCTGGGGATGGAGACCCAGGCCAGGCCAACCCTACAGGGCTCTGGTTCCCAGGGCATGGCCCTCATCTGGTTTCTCCTTTCCTTCCCCAGCCGTGGACCAGGTGGCCAAATCCACCCAGGAAACCATCGACAAGACTGCTAACCAGGCCTCTGAGACTTTCTCAGGTCTTGGGAAAAAATTAGGCTTCATGTAATGACAGAAGGGAGACATGGATGACTGCCCTCCAGGCCCTGAGCTCTGGCAGGCCGTTGGCCTGCTGCCTTATTAAAGCACTTGTTCCTAACTTGTGTCCACTTCATACCTCCCCACAAGCTGGGCCCAGCTCTCTCTCACCTGGAGCTGAGCCCCCGTATCCAGAAACCCAGCCCGGACATCCAGAGTTCTGGCATTCCAAATTCTGAAACCCAGACAGACTATTCGAGAATTCTTTTTCCATGTTCTCAACGCAAATCCAGACGCTCCCTTATCCGAAGTTCAAAGAGGTATGTGTGCCTCCCACTCTGTTCAGAAGCCACCGCGTCCCCCATTCCCAAACCGCTCCCCCAGCTCCGGGAACCCCGCCCCTGCTAGGAGACGATGCTGGGTCCCCAGATGCTCGAGGGGCTCAGCTCAGGGTGGGGGCGAGGGGCTCCAAGGGCTGGGGCTTCGGGAACTTCTCCCCGCGACCTGCTCCTGGAGGCTGGGAGCATCGAAACATCCCGGGGCCGGGCGCCTTCGAGGACCTAGGGTGGCCAGGGCTCTCGGGGACGACGCGGAGTCGCAGGAGCGAGACTTCTGTCGCTCCCCACCCGCTGCGGGGCTTTTGTGCGCCGGCCCCACCCGGCGGTGAGTCACCGCGCAAGACCGGGAAGGCTAGAACGCGCCCGGAACAGCCGCGCCCGGCCGGCTGCACTTCAGAGCGTTCCGCGCGGCCGCCGGGGGAGCGGAGCCCCGCCCACGACACGCCCCCCGGGGGAGGAGCAGCGGCGCACCAGGCGGTGCACGTGGGCGTGAAGTCGGGGAACCGGGCAGTGTGCGCGCGCGCGCGACCCCGCCCGCGAGCCCCGTTTCCCGCTTGGGCACAGCAGGACTTTCCGTTCCGGGACGGAGGCCGGCCTTTTGGTCCCACAGGGGCGTAGAGGGACTAGACTTCCCGCAAACTTAGTGCCCCCCCCCAACTCCAGCACGTGTCCACGCACGCGACACCAGCCCTGGGTACGCCCGGCTCCTGGGTGACTCACAGTTGCCACAGGATGAGGCGCGGTCCTGGCGCCAGGGCTGGCGGCCCCCTTCATCCGGACCCCCTGCCACACCGCGGCTGGTGACGCCGGCTGCCCCTTCCCCACCTCCGCGTCTTTGCACGCGTTATTCCCTCCACCCGGGAGGATCTTACTGTCTTGGGACGAGCACATAGGTAGCCAAGCCGTTTCCATTCAAAAATATTGATTACACTTCCCAGTTCTGGGGAAACAAGAGGGAAAAGCGTAGTCTTTCCTTCCCGCGTTGACTCAAGGCCGGCTTCCCGAGGGGTCTTCCACGGCCCTCTGGCGGGGAGCAACGGTCGTGTGGCGCCCCGCTCTGGCCCAGGGCCCTCTGGGGGTGCAGCTCTGCTCAAGTGACCTTTCTCTTCTCCCATCTGGGATCCCTCCCAAGGGTGCGACAGGTCTTCTCCCTCTCACCCTCAGCATCTCCCAGCCTCACCCTAGGGCCAAGCCCTGTTCCATTGTTTTCTTGTTTGCTGACTACCCAAAAGAAGGCCTCACCTAATCTGCAAAATGGGCCAAGGCAGCTCCCTCTGGCCTACAGGGAAGGTCCTCGAAGAGATGACTGGGTAGTGTGGGGGTGCTTCCAGCATCTCCAGGAGCCCCTGCCTCGAGGTGGGTGCCAGGGTCAGGAGACACCATCTTGGGCCACACTAGGGGGAGGCCGGAGGGGCTGGATTGGCAGAGCCCTCACATCTTTTCTGGTGTGCGCCCTTCCGCGGTGACTCAGAGAGTAATCCCCATGGGCCCAGCAATCCCTCTTCACCCACTGCAACTCGGGAAATTGCCTTAGGGATGGGTGTGGGACCCAGGTCTGGCTAAGAAGAGGGGAGATCACATCTGAGGGCCAAGGAACTTCTAGGAAAGATTTTCCATCCTAAAAAAAAAAGAGGGGTACCTGGGTGGCTCAGTCGTTGGGCGTCTGCCTTCGGCTCAGGTCATGATCCCAGGGTCCTGGGATCAAGCCCTGCATCGGGCTCCCTGCTCAGCGGGAAGCCTGCTTCTCCCTCTCCCACTCCCCCGCTTGTGTTCCCTCTCTGGCTGTGTCTCTCTCCGTCAAATAAATAAATAAAATCTTTAAAAAAAAAAAAAAAAAAAGAGAGAGAGAGAGAGACAAATGAAGAGGAAAGAGTCCTCCCTCTTCCACTGGACATTTTGCGGCTGGAAACGATGCTTGGAGCTGTGGTGGCCACTTGTAACCAAAGGAGGAACAAGCTTAAGGAAAAACCAACTTGCTGATGAGGGCAGAGCAGAAATATAGAAAGAACCTGAGTCCCAAGTTACTTTATCCAGTCCCTAAATTAACCAGTCCTTCAGCTGCCACATGCTAGCAATGGATGCAGTTTCCCTCGGTGTTTGAGCCACTGTGAATGAGATTTTCTCTTGCAAACAAAAGCTTCAATCCCCATGTTACCTGGATGCCAGCATCCTGCCGGGCTCACCCACCTCCCCAGCCTCCTCTCTCAACACCCTGTCCCTCTCTGCCTCAGCCACACTGACCTTTTTTCATTCCCCTTGACATCATGCTCCTGCTCACCACAGGGTCTTTGCATGTGCTGTCTTTGCTACCTGGAATGCTCTCCATCCTCCCCCACAAACCATTCTTGTCTAGAGCACCTACTTTTTCATTCTTCAGGTTCCAGCTCCCCTGTCCACCCTCCAACACATACACTCAGAATGGGTCCAGCCACCACTGATACACTGTCACACGTACTCCTTTTCCACAGTTATTCTAATGAGTCCCTTTCCTGTGTGCTTCTCTGTGATGGTTGTCCATGGGGCTGCCACCAAGTCCCTTCTACTGATGAGTGCACACCCAGTGCCAAGAGTGGTGATCTGGAACATCTGCCAAACGAAACAGCCATGACTGTTCTTTGGTTCTCCTACTGGATAACAACGAGTTCACATATTGTCAGATTCACCATGGGTGCCATTATTGGGTGCAGCCCCTTCCACTCTCCTCCTGCCCCATGCAGCTGGCCCTCCCATGGCACCATGCAAATGCTTATTTCTGTGTGCCTCTATTCTCCCCAACATTGTGAGCCCTGGGGATGCGAGTGGAGGCAAGGCCAAGTTGGACTTGGTTTTGCTCCATGACTGGGACACAGTGGGCATAGTACCAGGGGAACCCATGGGAGCCTTTAGGAGCCCAGGCCTGTCTCCATGAGGTTCGTGAAGCTAGTTGAGCCCAGACTGGCTGAAGAGGAGACGGCTGTGGCCACTGTACCTGTTGGGTATTGATCTAGGCTCCAAAGATCAATTCTTCCATTAGCAATTTCCCTAAATAATTCCTGATTCTCCAGATTTCAGTTCCTCAACTAGCCAAACACAAGGTCACTAACATTACATTTTGGTTCCCCTTGGATTCTCAGCTCTGATTCCTGTCAAGTTACAAATTACATAAGAGACAAGAAGCAGAGTTTTCTATTTTCCACATTCTCTCACTCTTTTTTTAAAAAAGATTTATTTATTTATTTTAGAGAGAAAGAGACCTTGCATGTGCCTGAGCAGGGGCAGAAGTAGAGGAAGAGAGAGAGAGGGAGACAGACAGACTCCCTGCTGAGCACAGAGCCCAACACAGAGTTTGATCCCACGACCCTGAGATCAGGACCCTGAGATCAGGACCTGAGCTGAAATCAGGAGTCAGAGGATTAACGGAATGAGCCACTCAGGTGCCCCTATTTTCCACCTTCAACCCCCTTCTCTTTCTCTCTCTCTCAATCTCTCTCTTTCTCTCTCTTTTTTTTTGCTGTTATTTGCCTCATTTCTACTTTTTGAAATATTTACATTCCATTCCTCTGAGCCACACCTTTGTTTTGTCTTAGATCTGCAATTGAAGATATTAAAAGCTCTCTGCCATTCCTTTTGCTAAAATATATATATATATTTTTTTGCTAAAATATTTTTTGCTATCTGTTGGTTGGTTGGAGTTAGTCCTCTAGAAGGTTCCTCAAGAATGAAATATTTACACTGGGATAATTACACACTGGGAAGACATCTGGGATCTGAGCTCATAATTGCTATAGCTAGGCCCCGTGGGTTATTGCAATGGGTCCATGAAGATTCATCGTGTTCTATTTTTGTGTATGGCATTTTCTATTTTTAAAAAGTTAAAAAGTTAAAAAGTTAAAATAAAAACTTTATTATTCTTATTTAATTAAATAATTTTATTTAGTTAAATAATTTAAATTTTAATTTAGCTAAATATGCTACTATTAATTCCTCCTTTCTAGTCATTGTACTGTGGTTGTGTGAGATGCAAACATCCATCAGGGAAGGCTGGGTGAGCAAGATACAAAAATTTTATTGCTTTTACAACTCAATGTTAATTGAGAGAGAAACCTACCCTATTCATCGTAAAGCCCTTGTATTCATGACATTGGAGGCTGGTAAGGAATCCGAAGTTCAAATCTGAAGTAGAATTTCCCAGGCATCAGTGGGACATTCTTATGGAGAGGGTCAGGGCCCGGGATTCACACAGGCTCTTCTGCTCAGGAGGCTGCCCTTCTTTCTCATACAAGTGTTGGACTCACCTTCATAGCTGTGACCCCTCTGCCTCTTAGAACCAAACCGACTTCAAGAAGTTTCTCTAGGCAGCCTTCTTTTCCCAGTCATGGGCTCCAGGGGTTGAGCCCTTGCCTTCCCAAGGGCTCTCTCCTCTCTTGGAAGGTGGTCCTCTTCTGGAGTAAATCCCTGCAGTTCCTTGGGCTTATTCCGCTTCTTTCATCACCTCCTCAGGTTCTGAGTTCTGTCCCAAAGAGTTCTCATTCGGAGGGTCCTCTCGTCCTGGGAATGAGTGTTGCTGGCAATGTCTGAGATGCCTGCCACTGGGCCCTCCCCATCCCCCACTCTTTTGCACTGGCCTGTCTTCCCACATTGGTTCCACCGGGCTCACCTGCTTCTGCATTTGCATGGTTTCCCAGTCTCCTAGTTTCTCTGAAGTTAAGTTTGATGTGTGTGTGTTGGTGATGGGCTGCCTTTGTCCTCCTCCATGTAGTTTCAAGAAGGAGAAATGGGACTATTTAGAATTCAGCTGCTGCTTTATTCCCAGCAGACCCAGAAGTCTGGCAGGCTGAGCTGGTGTTATGTTTACAGAAAATCCGCATCCACTTTCCACTTGCTCATCCCTGCCCTCACCCTGGGAGCGGGCGCTCATGAACTGCATCACCACAGCTCCCTCGCCCTCAGCCCCAGTTAGGTTCAGCCAATGGGGGAGATACCAGGAGAGCAGAGAGGGAGAGGAGAGGTATTTATTCCTCCTGCACCCTCCTTGCTTGGCATGGTTTGGCATGGCCGTATTCCTCTGCTGCTGATCCTGTCTGATGACCTCCTAAAGCCACGCTCTCCTCCGCGTCTGTGCGGGCTCTCCTTTGCCCCTCCCAGGCCCAGGGATGTAACCACTCTCACTATTACTGGTCCCTAGGAACCTTGCCATCCTTTACTGGTTCTCTTAAATCTGCCCACAGGTTTGTGGGCATCAGGTATCCCTTTGATGTGCCCTCTGATTTCCACCAGAACCCTGACCGACCCCCAGGGATGTGTAATGTTGACATGCTGAGGAAGTCCTCCTCTCCTGGTCCACAGACCGTCCCCAGGAGTCTGGATTTGGTTCCCTGTGGCTGGGAGGGGTCAGAGTGTGCAAGCTCTGTGGGCTCAGACTCTACTGGGAGCTCAAATCCATGAAGCAGAAGGAGGACAGGCAGTCATAACACTTGACATTCATGACATCCGCAGTTCAGATCACACGAGAACTTGTCCTGCTTTAGACACAAGACAGCTCCGAGTATTTGAGTACTTAAAATAAACATTCTTTATTTTTATTTTTCAGAACTGGTAATTGCTAAGTTGGAAAATTGTTGTTTGAAAACTTGGCTCTCCGTGACTTGGTGACACAGCCCAGGTGGTCCTTTGCCAAACTGGGTCGTTGAGCAGATTCCACTTGGAGGATTAGTCGGCTCCTCCGAAGGCCTGATGGTCCTGCCCCAATGGCTGGACTTGATCTTCTGACTCAGGACAGGCTGACACAGGTGCCTGTGTTCAAGGGCTGCTCCACGGGGGCCCAGTGTGAGCCAGGCCTCTTCCAAGATGGGATCGTTCTCACCTGAGTCATCTTCAACCGCACGCAGGCAGTAACGTCGTTCCTGACAGTGGAAGAAAAGTGTATCCATGGGGCACTTGAGTGGCTCAGATGGTTGGGCGTCCGCCTTCGGCTCGGGTCATGATCCCAGGGGCCTGGGATCGAGCCCTGCATCGGGCTCCCTGCTCCGCGGGAAGCCTGCTTCTCCCTCTCCCGCTCCCCCTGCTTGTGTTCCTGCTCTCGCTGTGTTTCTCTCTGTCAAATAAATAAATAAAATCTTTAAAAAGGGAAAGAAAAGTGTATCCAGAGGCTGTACTGGGCTGAGCTCTGGACTGGCACTGGGACCAGAGTTCTGCCGAGGGGCTGAGCCCTAGCGAGGGCCTCTTGAGGGGCTAGTGAGCTCCTGAGGAGAGAGGGAGGAGTGTCCTAGGATGGGCACTGGTGGGGAGGGGTCTGTGGGGTCTGGAAGCCATCCCAGAAATGTGGAGTGACACCACCATCCTGTCAGGGAGGAGGCATAGCGAGGACCCCTGTGGGGCTGGGGGACACACACAACCTCAGAAGAAGGGACTTTGATGGATCCAGGGAAGTTCCTGTGGGTCTCTCAGCCCAATTCCCACCAGCTTCGTCCTGGTAGCACCCCCTTGCCCACACCGCCCCCCCCTCCCCGCTGCCAGAGCAGAACACTCTGGTATTTGGCTGTGATAAGGGGAGAACGGAGTCTTGTGGACCTACTTAAGCTCCAGAGCCCCTCACTTCACAGCCTCCTCTGAGTCCATAAGGTCACACAGAGCCGTCTGTAACACTTGCAAGAGTAGTAGTATTGTATTCTTTCCCTCAAAGAGGGCCTTTCCAAATTGTTTCAGACCCGACCGCTCCTGCCAGTGGAGAATGACACGAGTGGTGCTGTGGCCCTGTGACCCAGGGTTTCTGCTGCCACAGTGCCCCCCTCCCCCCTCCCCCAGGGCGGGGGGGGGTAGCCACAGCTTGAGGCCTCCTAACACCAGTCAGGAGTGTGGGAGAGCCTCAGCGCTGTAGCCCCCAGGCTGTGAGGGCCCCTGGTCGGGTAAACACTAATTAGGGCTCACCACCCCCTCCCGAGCAGCTCCGAGGGCTGAGAGAGCAGGTACGCGGGGAGGCGGCCTCAGACTCCTGCCCTAGGCCTGGATGGCATGAACAGGGACTTGGGAGGACCTTTCTTCCGTGACTCCCAGCCAGTGGGGTCACGCTCCCCAGCTCCGCCCCTGCTACTCTTTGACCCACCCGCTGGTCAGTCAGGGCTCACTGCCAAGCAGCCCCTCCCTGGCACATCACTGACAAAGGGGAGGGAATACAAGTTTACCAAGAGCTTGCACACATGATCCCACCGACTCTCAGTGACATGGCCAGGGAGGCATGGCTGTCCCCATTTTATAGATGAGGAAACTGAGGCTCAGGTTGGGCTAGTGACTAAGGGATGCAGCATGTGGCACGTGGCTTGAGGCATCTCTCTCCATCCTGAATAACTAGGGAGGCAGCCTGGCCCCTTAAGCCTGTGATGCGTCAGGGGCTGGTGGAGTGGCTTTCTGGAATTTTGGCTAGGGCCACCAGACACACCTCCCGTGGTGGTGGTGAGGTCCTCCTCCTCCATCTACTCCTCTAGGGCCTCCTGGGGGGCACTGGGCCTCTCCAAGAAGCCAGACCCCAGGGTGCAGCGATGGCTGGGCTCCCTCCTGGGCTGGTTGCTCCTGTGCAGGGCCGTCCAGGTGCTCAGGTGCTCCTGTGAGTGAGAAGCGGCTGACTGCAAATCAGGGGTGACTGGGTTTCTGGTTAATGCTGTGTCCTCCTCAGCCTTGGGCAAGGTACCACGATGAGGCCCCCACCCCTCAAATTTCCAGTGAAAACTGCAGAGACGCTGCAGAGCTGAGATCCTGGGGTCCAATAGCCCCCACTCCACTTGTGTTCCTGGCCTGAGGGGCCATCCAGGTCCCCAGGCCCCCAGACCCTCAAGCCCCTACCTAAGTAGCCCCCCTGGGGATCCTGAACAGCAGGCTGGAAGTCCTAGGCCTTGTCTGGGTGTGCACTCGTGCCCGGGCTGTGGGGAGCTTGAAGCCCAGGGGGCTGGCAGGGCTCCCCAATTGCCTCTCATCCATAAGGCAGTCAGGCCTCCTGCTTTGCGGGAGGGCCACGTCCCAGAGCTGACTTCTCTCTCCAGTCCCTGACCCTCACCGGGGCCCAGAATACGGCGTGTGGGGGTCTCATACTGCCAGAGGGGCAAGGCTGGAGTCACAGCATTGGGGCGGCCCCACCCAACCTCTTCCTCCTGCCGCCGCCTACGCTGACTCACCACCTATCTCCTACTTGGCTGAGGCGGGGGCCGTGCTCCAGAGCCCAGGCAGGCATCAGAGGCATCTATAAAAGGACACTGCACCAGGCCCCAGCATCCTGCTTGCTTGCCACCTGTCACCACACGATGCTGGGAGGCCTGGGGAAACTTGCTGCTGAGGGCCTGGCCCACCGCACCGAGAAGGCCACCGAGGAAGCTGGTAAGTACCCCAAGGCTCCTTTCCAGCTGGGCCCTTCTCCTAAGGCTGGGGGGCTGGGGGCAGACTCAGTGGGGCCTGCTGGAAGCTGATCCCAGCAGATTGGAGGTAGGCCTTGGCCTCTTGAGGAACCCTGGCCGATCAGCCCCACAAGGACAGAATGGAAGTGAGGGGTATGGAAGCTGAGGAGGGCAGCTTGGGTGGAGTCATGAGGGGTCCAGTGCCCCTAACAGGCCTCTCTGGGTCAGACCCATGTCTGGGGTCTGTGACTGAGGGCAGGAGGGACTCCAGCTCTGAAGAGGCCCCTGGGGGCAGGAGGAGAGCCCAGGTGCTTGGGTGAGCCTTGGGTGGCTAGAATCCTTCCCTCTGGAAACCCGGGAGCCCTGTATCAAAACAGCCTATTCTGAATATCCTCTACAGAAAAAGGAAAAATGGATTTTTATTTTTACCATCACTTCAGAGCTTCAAAGATTTCTTCACTAAGGAACCACCAAGTCTGATTCTGTTCAAAGTCAGCAACCACCCTCCCCACCGGGTTTATCTAAAGGACATTTTGAATTTCTTCAAAGTCCTCAGAAACCCTTTTTTGTGTGCAGACACCCGCAACTGTATGCAGGAGGCTAGTCCAGGTCCCACCAGGCGTTTTGTGAACCCCAGCTCGCGTCCGAGTTAGCTGCTCGGTTCTGCCTGGCTGGCTGCCGCGCACACGTCTGTCTGTCATCGGTTAACCTGCGGCTGGTGTTCCCTGCCCCCCTTCACCTTCCACTGGTCCTGAGCTCCGTCTCATCCCCTGTCCACGGGTGAGGGAACCAAGCAGCACAGAGTGGAGATAGAATCAGAATCAGTTCTTCTGACTCCAGAATCTTCTGGTTCTAGCCACTGCCACCCAAACTTCAGACAACTCCAAGGTGGTCAGAGAGTTCCCTCCTGTTGGAGGAATCGCTCCGGGGCCTTGGTCTTGCTGTAGGAGGTTTTGGCACTTGGCCACCTGCTGCAGCCTCCATCGGGCTGAGGCCGGCCAGCAGCATACTTGAGAGGTGCCCGGATCTGGGAGACAGACCCCGCCTTGGCCCCAGGCCCCAGCCGGCAGGAGGGCCTGCTCATCTGAATTCCAGGCCTCGCCAGGCCAGGCCAAGGGGCATGGAGAACCCTGTGCCCTTGTCTGGCTCACTCAGCTTGTCTCCCAGAGCCAGGCCCCCCGGGAGTCTCGGGAGTAAGCCAGCTGGGGCTCCTTCTCATGGGCTGCCTCGACCTCCCCGGGGTGGCGTCCAGGATTTATCCCGAGCTGTCTGGGCCCCACCTTGAGGAGAAGCTGGCTTGCACAGTGCTCTCACTTGGGCTCCTCATCTTCGCAGTTCATGCCGTGGAAGGGGTGGTCAAGGAGGTGGTGGAGCACGCCAAGGAGGCTGGAGAGAAAGGTACGGCTGAGGTTGGGGCCGGGGGAGGGGGGAGGGAGAGAAGCTAGATGCTGGGAGCGGCCATTCTTTGCCTAACCAGGTCAAACCCTGACCTTGATGTTGCATCCTTTCAGGGGGTGTGCAATCACCAACACTCATCAGAGACCACAGACGGCACTTTGCTAAAGCAAGATCCATCCAGACAGTCCTTTCTGTGGGATGTTAAGGTGGTGTCACAAACGACTATGTGGCACCAGGCTCGGACAAAAAACCATTTCAGACATAAAATTCTCTCTTTATATAAATATACATTCACATAAATACTTCCATGCGTGTGCGGATGCTGTAGCACAGCGATGTAAAAGTACCTCTTCCCTTGAGGAGAGCCAATGTTCTCTCACTCAGAATTGCAGAAACGCAAGTTGTGGAGGGAAATAAAACCACCCTTGAAGGCATTCCTCCAGGAGCCCCACTGCCCTCTGTCCCCTCGGGGCTCCTCCAGGGCACGATCCAGTAGGACCACCACAGCCCACAGGCCACTCTGCGTGACACTGGCCCTACCAGCTGGAAATTTTTACTTAGCTCACAGGACATTATTCTTCTTTCTTCCTGACAGCCATTGCCGATGCCTTAAAGAAGGCCCATGATACAGGGGACAAGGTGGTGAAGGAAGTCACTGAGACGGTGACCAACACAGTCACAAATGCTGTCACCCATGCAGCGGAAGGCCTGGGCAAACTGGGACAGTGAGCACGTCCGCCTCCAGGGGACTCTTCCCGAATCTCAATAAAAAGCTGTGAAATGTGTACACTGAGCCCTGGATTTTTTCCTGTTTGGATGGAGACACTGCCTGTGTCCCGAGTGTCCCCTCTGCAGGGGCAGGGGACCTGCATGTTGGCAGCTTCTGGGGGTCAGGAGGTCCCTGGGATTGATCAGCTGTGCTGCCCTCACATTAAGATTTCTCACATCATAAAAATAAATAAATAAAAAAAATAAAAAATAAAAAATAAAAATAAAAAAATAATAAAAAATTTAAAATAAATAAAAATAAAAATAAAAAATAAAAAATAAAGATTTCTCACATCAGCAAGGAGCTCTGGAAGGATTGTTAGTGTCTGTGCTGCATTTCATAAAGGGTTATTTTCCCAGACACTATATATATAGCTTTCAGACACCTCAGTGCTTCCAGGACATCCCAAGGGAGGAACATAATTCGGCTCACACGTTCTTTGGGTTTTCCTTGAAATGTTCTTATAGGCGTCAGGGAAGATCACGGGCCGACCTGACTGAGAGTGTAGCTGGGCGGGCTCAGGCAGTTTGAGACTCTTCACATTCTGAAAGGGACTTTAGAGAAGCATTTGAGCTGGACAGCCACAGAATCAGGTCAAGTAGTAACTGAGACCACTGCTTATTGGCTGTGGAAGCCACTGTTGGATCTTTCCCCAGAGACTTATCAGGCCTGATTGCTGGCCGTGGCCAAGAACGCCTGGCCTCTTCTCCTTCCTGCCATCAGGGGTCAGCACCATAAAGTTAAACATATGTGTAAGCGGCATTTAGCTTAACATTTTGGATTTTTAAAAAGGGAATGATTCTTAAAGAAGAAGCATTGCCTATTTATCTGGCTGGAAGCTACTTGTTCTTCGCAGAAATGAGAAGGTGTTTTGTTTTGTTTTGTTTTAATTTGATTTCATTTTATTATGTAAGAAAAGGTGTTTGAAGGAGCATGTCAGTTGGTCACCACATTTCTGGCTTTTTTAAAGTGGCTTCCCAAGTCTTGAACAGCCCAGGAATATCCAGTGTCCTGGCTTGGGACGTTTGCCACTGTCCAGCTCTGGACTCTATATCGTGGTTGGTTCCTGGAGACTTTTGAATTCCCCCAGTCTAAACCCTAGCTCAAAAAAAGTGGGAGCACTGTGGACGGCAGAGTAAACTGGAGCCCTCTTTGGACAGCAATTCCTTTTACCAAGACCTTATTTTTCCGGTGTGCACAGGTACACACAGATGTCTAGAGGGTGAACACACAGATTCATCATGGCCTGTTTGTAATAGCAAGAGTTGGAAACATCCTAGCGTGCCAGTCAGAAATCACTCGGATGGCAAGTTCTGCTCTGCTTAGTAGGTTTGACACCTAATTTAGCGTTGACACCTCTTACTTCTAGTGTATTGTAAACCATATCCCAGCTTGAAAAATGGGACCTGCGCCTAGATAGCCATCAAAAGGGACTGGCTGGAAGCTGGTTAACTGGTTAACTGGTTAACATCAAAAGGGACTGGTTAACAATTGTATGAAATGGAATACCCCATGACTATCAAGAAGAATGAGGAAAATGTACATACGCCATATGGGAACACATCCAAATGAATTATAAGTTACGGAAAATACGTATGTAGGAAGAGTTCATTTTTGTAAAGCAAACTCATACTTGTGGAAGAAGAGAAAAAAACGGTAGCACGTATATAGCAGATATGTTAATCGTGTTCATCTCAGTGCCCGTGGGAATATGAAAGATCTTCATTTTCTTTTTCTTTAATATTTTACTTATTTGTCAGAGACAGAGAGAGCACAAGCAGGGGGAGCGGCAGGCAGAGGGAGAAGCAGGCTCCCCGATGAGCAAGGGGCCCGATATGGGGCTTGATCCCAGGACCCTGGGATCATGACTTCAGCCAAAGACAGACGCTTAACCGACTGAGCCACCCAGGCATCCCGAGAGATCTTCATTTTCTACGCGACACAGTTCCATGATGCTTGAATTTAAGAGAAAACCAACACAGATTTTTAAATGTTGTTGAGGCAGGCACATATTAGCTTATTCAAGATCATTTGCTGGTTAAGTGCTCTCAAAGTTTATTGGCTTGCAAACCTTGTTATTACTACTTGGCGACAAGATAAGTGAAGAATAGAGCATTTAGAAACTTTTACAAAAATTTGACATTGCCTGGACCTCCAGGAGTGTGCTTAGCAGACGATGCTTATTGAACAGGATAGAGACCAGCTCTGGGTTGTTGAACTTGCATGGCAAGTTGTATGTGAACTAGTCACATGAAGTAGGACTACATACCATGATGTATTAGATTAACAAACAAATTGGTCCTTTGCCACAGAGAGCTGGAGAAGTACTGCCCATGGTTCCTTAACGTCACCTTGCAATGTGCTGTTCTAGAATAAGTACTTCTATCTCTCACTTTCTCTTTACTGTGTGTTGTACAATAGTGGTAAAACATCAGCCTCAGACAAGCTCTAAATGTGTTATAAAAAGCAATAGACAGGGGCGCCTGGGTGGCTCAGTTGGTTGGACGACTGCCTTCGGCTCAGGTCATGATCCTGTAGTCCCTGGATCGAGTCCCACATCGGGCTCCCTACTCGGCAGGGAGTCTGCTTCTCCCTCTGACCCTCCCCCCTCTCATGTGCTCTCTCTCTCTAAAATAAATAAATAAAAAATCTTTAAAAAAAAAAAAAAAAGCAATAGACAGTGACGTCCAAGCAACTGGTGGAGCAGGGACTTCCAAAAATTCCCTCCTCCATAAAAGTAATGAGAAAACTGGCAAAAATATAGTCAGAATCAACTATTTTTTCCAGAATTCTTAACCAAAGGTTTACAGCAATCAAGGAGCATTTATGTAAAACAAATTAAAAACAAACAACATCTTCTTAAGAATGGCAAGCTCTGTGATGTTTTTAACTTACCCTATTCTATGCCCCACCCCTCGGGTACCTTCTTCAGCTCCATTGCAGCCTTGAAAACCAATAGCCTAGCAGTTACTGGAAAGAGCTGAACAGGGTTGGAGTTCCTTCCAAGCCTCATTCCCAGAAAACTGTGATTATTTCACCTGACTGGTTGTTCCTAGGAAGACCCCATTGCAAGCCTGCCTTTATTTGTCGCAACTAGGAGCTCACCTAATGTAAACAGCTTTTTACCTGGGGCTGTTTGTCACAAAACAATTAGAGGCAATTTTTTAAAAAAGATTTTATTTATTTATTTGTCAGAGAGAAAGAGAGCACACAAGCAGTGGGAGCAGCAGTCAGAGGGAGAAGCAGGCTCCCCGCTGAGCAGGGAGCCTGATGCAGGACTCGATCCCAGGACCCTGGGATCATGACCGGAGCCGAAGGCAGATGCCTAACCCACTAAGCTACCCAGGCATTCCCTAGAGGCAATTTTTTAAGCTGGTGGCTGCATTAAAGTGGTGGATAACAGTTTGGGAAATCAATAGGCTAACCAAAGCAAAGACCTTAAAAGGAAAAACTGGGGAATGAAATGTTCCTAGGGACTTTGAAAATTCCATATATTCCTGGGAATCTAGAAGGCCATACACATGTGTAGGGCTGTGCATGTGCTCATTAAAGACTGGAGAAAGCTTGAAGCTCTCACCTCTAAACAACCTTGAGGCTCTGTGCAAGCAGGAAGTGAAAACCAGCTGAGTGTTGAAGGTGAGGCCCAACCTGCACAGAGAGTTCTCTGGCAAAGATGGGAGACCTATTGGTTCTGGATACTTAAAAGAAATCTCTGTCCAGTCATTAGCTAACCACTAAGCTACCTGAGGAGAAACTTCAATGGCAAACACAACAAAGAAAACAAACTACAGAATTAGTTCAGAAAAGTCACTAAACAAACACTCAACAACAAAAAGCAACAAGATATCTGGGGGGAGGGGTGTGGAATCTGATTTCAGAGTTGCCACGTTATATTATTCAACATGTCTAGTTTTCAGAAAAAAAAGATGTGCAAGGAAAGACATGATGGCTCATTTAAGGGGGGAAAATGGAAACTATGTCTAGGTAAGCCCAAATAGTGGACTTATCAAAGACTTTATTTTTTTTCCCCAAAGACTTTAAATCAATTATTCTAAACATGTTCAAAGAGCTAAAGGAAACCACATCTACAGAATTAAAGTGTAAGATCAATACCAAATAGAGATTACACTTCATGAAGGGACAGAAATTATAGAAAAAAATGAAATAGATATTCTAAAGTTGAAAGTACAACTGAAATAAAACATGCATTAGAGGGCTCAACAGCAGATGTGAGCAGGCGCATGAAAGAATCTGTGAACTTGAAGATATGTCAAATGAGATTATCCAACCTGAGGAACAGAAAGCAAACAAATGAACAAAAATAAAGAGGATTAGAGATGCATGTGTCACTGTGCACCATGGGGGTACCAGAGGGAGAGGAGAGAAAGAGACAGGAAGAGTATTTGAAGAAATATTGGTTGAAAACAAATTTGATGAAAATGTAATAAACCTATACTTCCAAGAAGTTCAATGAACTCCAAGTAGGAAGACTCAAATAGATGCACACCAGGCATATCCCAATCAGACTGTTCAAATCCGAAGACAAAACGAGAATCTTGAAACAGAAAAATAAGTCATCACGTAAAAGGGAGGTTCAATGAGATTAACAGGTGACTTCTCATCAGAAACCAGAGGCCAGAAGCAGGAGGATCACCTACTCAAAGTGCCAAGAGAGCCGGTCAACCAGGAGTTCTAATATCCAGCAACCACAGCATTTTCTCTTCACATGGGCACAGTCCGCTTAACGCACTGGATCACCACTCATGCTGCCGACCCTGCTGTCATCACGGGAGACCTGGTGGACCCAGGCCTTGGCCTGTCCCACCAGCGTCATGGCCTGCTGCAGGCTTATGAAGGCCCCAGTACCGCCAGGGTCCTGCAACTCCCTGAGCGCACTGGTTCACGCTAGCACTCTGTACTGTGGGCTTCCCAGGGGAGGGTGTGCTGATGGTATAGCACCCACCTCCACTCCGCTCACAGGATACTTGCTGTGAACAGGCTTCCTCAGAAACTTTGGCCTATTTGCAACTAGACTCCCTGGATGGTTCCGGGGGTTCAACTCTAGGTTGGTGGGTTTTTTAAATTCCTTCATTTATTTTTAATCGAGGTGAAATTTACATAGCAACAATTTTCAAGTGTACAATGGTATTTGGCATATTCACAATGTTGTGCAACCATCACTCTTAGTTTTAAAACTTTGTTATCCCCTCGGGGCACCTGGGTGGCTCGGTCGGTTGAGCACCTGACTCATGGTTCCGGCTTGGGTTGTGGTCTCGAGGCTGTTGGATTGAGCCCTGTGATCAGCTCTGTGCTCAGCGGGGAGTCTGCTTGGGATTCTCTCATCTCTCCCTCTACCCT